ACTAATACCTTTTGAAAATGCAAATATTTCTAGAGGATTATTGGAAACCATATCAAACTTTCCAATCTCGAGAAAACGACCACCCTTTGCTAAGCAACGGACGGACGCTTGCAGTTTCTCTTCAGCTAAAGAATTTAATATGATATTTACTCCGCGACCTTTCGTTCCCTGAATAATCATTTGTTCGAAGCTCATATCACGAGAGTTTCCGATGTGATCCTCAGGAATAGAGGGAAACGTTTTTCTTATAAAGTCTCGTTTCTCGATACTCCCAACCGTCGTAAACACTTCGCAACCCTCGTAAATGGCAAGATGAATAGCAGCTTGACCAACACCTCCCGTACCAGAGTGAATCAACACTTTATCATCTTTTTTCATTTTACCACTCAAATATAAAGCGTAATAACACGTGCCATATACACAAGGAACCGTCGCAGCGTCTTCCATCGTCCACATGTCAGGTATGATCCAACTAAGATATTTGTCAGTTATGAGAATATTTGTCATTCCTCTGAAAATAATATAATTTAGAAAATCATATAAAAATATATTATGTTAAAATTAAGTAAAAGAAATATTTTTTAAATATTTTTGGTGAATAATATGTAAAGATTAAGTAAAGAATGAAAAGAAGCATATAAATATAGCAATTTTTTCATTTTTTACTTCATCGAAAACGTTTCTAATTTAAATATACAAAATTTATTTTATTAAGAATATACGTTTAGAGTATTCGTTTATTTTTATTAAGAATATACACATATTACGATTCTATTCACATACATATTAAGATTTTATCAAGTTTTTCTCTAATATTCACTTACCCTGTTGAACATAATCCCATTATTTTTTGCCCAGTTTTATTAAAACCAGCAAATTCCATTCCAATTAAAGAATTATTATTTCGTTCGGTTGTAATAGATTCAATGGTGAGTCTACCGCTAGCTATCATGACATCTCTAAAATTAATAGATGCATAGACTACTCTTACTAGATTTTCTTCATTATTGTTGACGAAAGATATCCTACTTTGCATCCAACAAAGAGTACTCAGATCACCTCGCACCTAAAATAAGTAAATATAACAAGTTATTTTAAACTTCTTAAAATTAAAGTAAAAAAAATTATTTCTTAATTTATTAAGGGAATTATCACTATTTTCCTAAATATAATAATCCGAATCTTCTTCAAATCGTACCATTTGAGAAACATAAGCACTCTCTACGAATTTTGGTTCTAATAATGGTAATGGAAAATGTCTGTAAGATCCCCAAATACCGGAACGTATAACATTGATGGGTAAATCCAGCTGTAGCTGCGTCATGTATAACGATTCTTGCAATGAAAAAGCAAGTGCATTTTCATCTTGAATAAATACACTTCTAATCATTTCCCCACCCGGTTCTTTTCGCAAACAATTGACAAGACCGAGCAGACCGCATTCGAAGTCTCCTTCTGCGACGATTATAATCCTCGTATTTATGTTGTCATTTTCCACGTTCATGACTGATTTAATTTTATTTATCCATGAGAATTCGCGATTGTTTACATACACAATCTGCTGAATCGTCTTAAAATCTTGTATTTTTCTTAATAATATAATTTTCTTATCGTTGGTGCATTTTTCCATAATTACTTTTAATCCATAATTGTCCAGACATGAATAATCGTGAATAACATCTAACTCTTCCAATGTCAGAAGAAATCCCATTGGCATTACGGCAGACAATAATTGTTCGTATAAATCATTTCTATTTTTTGTTAAAATTCCGAAACCTATGATCATCAAACAATTTTCATTTTTTGTCAATTTATCAAATTCTATTGTAGAAATACTGCCGGGCAAGGAGATATGTTTCAATCTTTCTTTGATCGCTACTATTTTGATATTGTAACTAATTTGTGGTAAGTCGTCTAAAATTTTATAAACATGTAAAGAACTTAAATTCTCCGGGATCACTTGATCGCTATTTTCGATAAATTCGAAAATTTTCACGTTTATCATGTTGTAGCACTCAAGTGCAATGTGCACCGAAATTCTTATTGCATCTTGCAAAGATATCACATTTTGATCTCGATGAGCAACAAACTTGTATTCTTCAAAAATGGGGTTGACTACATTTTGTCGACGAGATATAGCTGTAGCTACGAGACCGTGTATTTCTATTCCTCCAGATATCAAAACATCTAAGTGCTTATAATTTTGTACAAGGATTTCTGCGGATATGAAGACAATAGCATATATCAAGTATATATTTTTCGAAAAATAATATTCGATTAAATATGTATATAATTACTTTTATAATACTGTAAACTTACGTTTTTTTTCATTTGAAAATTTTTCAATATATTTTATGTGAGATTTTGGATCAATTACCGCTTTACGAATTCCTGTTGGTACAAAAAGAGTTCTCGAATTCTGCCCTAAAATTATCATCTGTAACATGTTGTCCATAAATGTTACCCAATTGTCAGTCCAGGCAATATGACCATTCTTTCCTGTGATTGACGCGCTTCTTAATCCACGAAATTCGCCGGTATATTGATAACCACGAAGTTTCAATTCTTTGTAAATATCTTTTGTATTCATCTCTTCTTTGTCATTTCGATCAACAAATGTGCTACATATTTTTTCGTCTTCAATATTGACTGGAATTCGTACTGTTCCAGTGACGACAGCACTCTCTCCTTCGATTATTTCAAATTTGCAACTATCTATAAGAGTACAATTATCAATTTCTTGTATAAATATTTAATTTATAAACGGAAATTGTACTCCATGTTTTATAAAATTCTATACTATGTGTTATAATGAGAGGATGTTTTTAACAAAGAATAAATTCCAGCCAGCCTTCAATCGTAGAAAGGAAATACCAATCATAGTACAATTTGCAAATTAAATAAATAAAAATAAATTTTCTTTTTAATGAAAGTGATCCCATAACATTATTATTGGTCAGATAAATGCTACTTCTGATATGCATTTGCATAAAAAACTTAGTTATATTGGGTAACCAATAATTTTAATGAATTAGAAAATTAACTTAGCTATGGTATCTTTAAATTGCAATCTTTCAAGCATAGATTTTTAGCAATATATTAATTAAAATAGCAAAAATATAAATAAAAATGATATGTATAAAAATTAAATAAATCGACAAAATTAACAATACATTTTTTACTGTAAACTGACAGCAGAAATTAAAATTTGTTGATTATGTTTACTTTTTCAGCAGAAACAAGCTTAATGCAGTAATATATTGCAATTTTTGCTCGAATTTGCTGCTACTTTATTGGCAAACTGTTAATAGTTTGTTTATTAGATACAAATCTTTTCTTAATTTATTTTTTTCAATTGAATTTTTTTGCTTATTCACATTTTATGTCTTAAAAAATTTTTATCTTTTTATATATCTATATCATAAAATTATTTTAATTGTACAAGTTACCTGTTTGTATCATAAGAATTAAATCGACTGGATTTTGCTTTGACAGAATTGTAGAACGTAGGAAATTGACATTTTCAAATATAATTGGTATATCGAGATGATTTCGCTTTCCTAACCAGCCGATCATTTGCCACATCAGGAAAAGATATCCTGTAGCCGGTAATAAATTTTTTCTGTTAAAGACATGCCCAGTCATATATGCAAATTCTTCATCGAGTAAATTAATGGTAACAATTGCTTCCCTAATGTGAAGTTTTCTTTGTCCGCAATAACGATATACATACCAATCTTCAGAATGATCCCATCTGTAAAACATGTTATTAATTTAAAAATATATAAAACATTAGCCTTATTAGCGTTTAACGTTGTTAAAAATAATGCAAATTAATTTTCCGTTTTTTTAAATTCTGCTATTTTTTTGGTAATAAACATAACGTTGAAGGATCTTATGTTATATTAAGCAAAATTTACCTTGTAAGATGAGAAATCATCGGTGTATTACGACTCACAGGAAACTTAACTTGTGGATATAAATTTGCGATTTGTAGCTGTAATCCTGCATTATAAAGTTTTCCAATTCCGTGTAAGAATATCTCAACGTTTGGTTTGTGAGAAAATTCGTATAACGCGACATTTGTCACAGTTGCATTTAACGAATCATTAAGAATGTATTGTAGAATGTCGTGCGGCGCTATCTCAATCGTCACCGCGTTATTTGGAATAAAACGCATAGCTTTTGAAAATTCTACTGAGGTTAATAAGCTATTTGTATAATATTTTGCTAGATACGAAATATTTGGAGATGTGCTGAACCATTCATAGGATTTGTCCAACATGTTCAACCACTTTGAGCTCGGAGAGGCTTCCTGAGGCAATATCTTATTCAGGTAATCCAAAAGTTTAACTCTCACAGGTTCGATGTATCGACTATGGAAAGGTACATTTCCAGAGGAAATTTCTTTTACAGAAATGTTGTCTTTCTAAATAGAAATAAATTTCTTTTAATAAATTCATTTTTTATTTAATTCAACCTAATTATGAACATAGATATATTATTTGTACTTTTTAAGTCTTTCCGAACCTGTAGTTTAGCGAGGAATGCTCTTATAGAGCTTGTTGGTCCACTCACAATATAATTATGTGAACTATTACAACAAGCTACATCGATATCCGATGGACACATATTCTTTATAGTTTCTAAATTAATTTCTAAATCTAAATTAATTTCAGCCATCAATCCACCTTTTATTTCTGACTCAAGAAATGCTAAACCGACATAATAAGCCAACATGATGGTTTTTTCGGCCGTCAAGCATCCATCGGCATATCCACAAACCAATTCGCCAATGGAATGACCCATTATTACATCAGGAGTGATACCAATACTTATTAAGAGATCAACTATTCCGATCTGTAATATACGTAATTTTTTTATAAATTTTAACCTAACATTTTCTATTTTTCTTTTAAATAAAATAATATTTTAAAATATTACTATAAATTTAACTTTCTGCATACAATTATGTAACATATGAAATACTCTTTTTAATTTTAATTCTTTTACAAGAATTTTCAGTTTTTTATAAAATACTGATAATTTTAAAAATACGGCGTTTCATTAGATAATACAAAAAAATTCCGAAATATATAGACAATATATTTTTATTCGTACCTGTAATCCAATAAGGCTTACAAATAAGTTGACTACGTTATTGAGAATATTGCCGTTATTTAATAGAATCCCTGTGACAAATATTTTATAAGGTTCCAAAACAGTATCGCATTTTTGGATTGCTTTAGCGAATACTGGAAATTCCATTAAAGCTCGACCTATATATATGTATCAGTATTTAAAAGGATATAATTATATTACACAACGTAGTCGAAATTATTTTAAATGAAGTAATATTTTTATATAATTAATCTAAACATACATAAATGAAATAAAAAATAAACAAAATAAAAGGCTCTCGAAATTAACAAATTAAAATAAAATATAGTAAAAGGCCATAAAGAGTCAACGCGGTTGTAAGGCGTGTTTTTTGGAGAAAAAATAATCCATGAAAACGATCACATTAGATGATCTTTCTTCTTTATTGACATCAAACGTTTCGGACTCAATTCGAGCCTTCTTCAGTGATTCTAATAAGATAAAAAAGAATCAAATAAGATAACAATGCAAATGCAGTTCTTAATAGATAAGAGATTCATGCAGTTCTTAATAGATAAGAGATTCATTTTAACTGGTTTCACAAACCGACTTTCTCGGGGAGATACCTCCATTTTGAATTGCGACACCCCCTCTGCCAGAAGAGAGGTACGATAATTGGTCTAACTGATAAAGTTTTCTGGCTTTCTCATCCAAAATTTCATAAAGAGAATTTTGAATTTGTTATTAACATCTTGTTGAATAATGGGTATCCTCTCTCTTTTATTTTCCACACCATTGTTGACCGACTTAATATTTTATTACCTAGATTTAACAATAGACTTAATGACGCTTTGACTGTAAATTCGAATGTGTGTGACGATGTTAATGAAGGAGTGAGGATCTCATATTTTAATGTTCCGTATGTTAAGAACATATCTGAGCGTTTCCGGCTTTGCGTCAGAGATCTGAATGCCAAAATTTCTTACACTGGAATAAATAATTTGCGCCGTTTTATTAAAGTCGGCAAAGATAATTTGGAGAAAGACTCGCGCAGCAATATAGTATATAAGATCAATTGCATGGATTGCGACGCTTCTTACGTGGGACAAACGGGACGCTTATTAAGAACAAGGATTAAGGAACACAAAAGGAATCTTACGTCCGTCATTGCCGAGCACAGAGCGTTAGATCATACAGTTTAATTTTGACGACATTGAGATTTTGGATGAGGAAACTTTTTTAGGAAAGAGATTAATATCGGAGATGATCTATATTAAGCGTCAAAGAAATGCGTTGAATCTCCACAGCGATACGTCAAAATTGAATACTTCATGTTTATCGATAATCGAAAACATATCTAAAATTTAATAGTTTGTTGTTTGTTAGGACTGTTCTTGTCCTCAGTGTATACTGGATTGTTTTTGTCGCATTTTGACGTCATTTTCTCGTTAGCATTCGAATCTTTTTGCCTAGTCGACCATGTGCGCGCTGAGTGTTCGTGTCCGTTTCTGTTTCGTCTTCTCGAGTTGGAGTGAGTTGCCTTTGTCTAATTATAATTATTGCAAGGCTTTACATCTATATCTTGTACATTTATTTTGTTAGTGCATTGCTCTTTGCGCCTTGCAACGCTCAAAGGACTGCTTGCATCTGGCTTCCTTCGGGTTGACTTGCCTTGACGGGTCCACGTTCGCTCTCTAAGACTATATATGTATGATGACTAATTTTTTTCCTCTCTTATTTATTAAGAACTGCATTTTCATTGTTATCTTATTTGATTCTTTTTTATTTTATCAGAATCACTGAAGAAGGCTCGAACTGAGTCCGAAACATTTGATGTCAATAAAGAAGAAAGATCGTCTAATGTGATCGTTTTGGATTATTTTTTCTCCAAAAAACACCCCTTACAACCGCGTTGGCTCTTTATGGCCTTTTATTATATTTTATACTAGTACATAAATGAAATCTCTAAAAATCGTTTATCTTTGTTGTGCACATGCTTTCTATATAGTATCATTATTATATTTTAATTTAGTTCGTATCATAGAATAGACTTTTTATATCTAAATGTAACTTAAGCAATTATTTAATAAAAATTTATAAACTAGAAATATTATAATTGTTAATTCTTTATTGTGCATAAGAATGTATGTATAATTTGAAAATCGTTAAAAAATTAATTGCAAATAAACTTAATAATAATTATTATATTGTTACGCGTCGAAGTCATTACGACACGTACTGTCGTTGTCCGGATTCCGTAGTTAAGAAGATTGTTTAAAAACAACGATGGTTAGCTGAGTCGAAAGATAGCTGTCAAGCTATCCGGACGTGTTTTATATACGAGCCATTATTAAGCCGTTGTGTTATTAATCCGTTGTTCGTGTGTGTTCTGTGTTTCGCATTAAAGTTCTTGTGTTCTCTAAAAGTGTCTTGTTATTATTCGCGGTCCGCGAATGCCGGTGGTCCGCTAATTCGATATATCTCGAAGCCCTTGCCTTGGGCGTAACAATATTGTAATATATTTGATTTATACTTGCCCATGTTAAAATACTGAGATCCAATTCCAGAAAATATGAAGCAAATCGGTCTTTTCGTACATAAGTTGCATCTCCTTTTAATTATTGCATTATTAGTTATTTTGGGTCCAGCAATTATGTATCCTCTGTAGGGATGATCTTTTATATTGCCGCTATGAATATGATGCAGAAGAGATATATATTCTACATCTGTTGATCGACTTTGTATCTATAAAGATTAGTTATTATAATATTTAAAATAATTATAACATTTCAGTATAAATTATTTTTCTTTCAAGATAATTATCATTATAGTAGCTTAGTAAAGTAAATGTTTTATGTATTTGATTTTGAAAAATTTGAGTGCCTTTAAAATATTCTATAATTTATTTCGTTGCTATGTTGAACATTATGTAGTGTTATTTTATCCAACTAGATAGATTAAAAGATGCGTATTTCGAGCACAATTGATTTTAATATGTCTTAGACCTGTTCACATAATATTCTACTTTTTTTTCGTTTTTATTGATTAAAACAATTTGAATATATCTATGTAAGTTTTATATATAGATCTCATTATTAAAATTAGTATTTTAATACGTGATTAATATACTTTAATTAAATATAATTTACTTATTATATTAACGATGATTTTTTTAAATTCTTTATATAAACAATTTTTAAAATCATTTTTACCTTTTATTTCGTACTAATATATTTTTTATTTTTTGTGCTAAATTATTTTGTAGTAATATATACTTACGTCATTTAACATGATTTTAACTGCTTCTTCGGTAGGTCCAGATATAACTACAAGCTTAGGTAAATTATTATTTGTTTTATTAACTTTAATTTTCGAATTTGATTTCAATAATATATGGGAATTAGCACCACCAAATCCGAAAGAATTAATACCGACGTAGCCACCCTTCCATTCTGTCGGTTCAGTAACTATTTTTACTCTTCCTTCAATGATAGCAGTCATATTCTTTCGTGGATGTTTTAAATGTATAGTAGGAGGGATTATACCAGTTTCCATCGCTATTAAAACCTTTGCAAGAGAAATATATATGTTATAATGCAGATAGATAATAATATCTTAGTTCTATAATTATAATAAATAATCAATAAATAATAATTATAATGACTAATCAAAAATTACAGATAAAAAAATACATAAGTTTATATATAGCATTAGATTACATAGATGTTTCAATTCCATTTTGTAAATCTTTGTTGTAAACCTTACCTTTGCAATTTGGCAAAGACCGCTAACGGGTTCAGAATGTCCAATATTCGATTTTACTGAACCTATTAATAGAGGAAAATCTCTTTTGATGCATAAAGCTTCGTCGATTGCTTGAAGCTCCACTGGATCGCCGGCTATAGTGCCAGTTGCATGAGCTTCTAGGTAAGACAGTTCACGAGGCGAAACGTTACATTCCTTGTAAAATTTTTCCAATAATAATTTTTGTTTATCTAATGATGGAAATGTAATTCCTTCTTCTTTGAAACCATCGCAATTTGTTTTACCATAAATAAAAGTCGCATAGATTCTTCTTGCGTCCTTTGCTTTTTGCAAGAACACTACTGTAGCCGCCTCACTACGCATGTAACCGGTACCTTCTTCATCGTAAGGTTTACAGTAGCCATCGCCAGATAACACTCCTAAAATATAAGTCATTTATTACGATTGAATATAAAAAAAAATGTAATTTACTTGTTTATTCCCGGTTTCTTAAATAATATATCAAGTATTTGAAAACTTTGATATAAGAGTAGAATATTATATAAAAAATAAGCAAATCAATTATATTGTTATATTTTGGCGAAAACTTTGATACATATGTAAAATATTTGAAAACTTTGATAAATATATTAAATAAGCGATTCAATGATATTGATATATTTTGACTTTTCAAAAATTATTAGATCAAATATTGTGTTAATTAATGCAGCAATAAATAAGTTATACCATTTACACAATCTCGAATACAACATCTTTGAACATAATATTATTTTTCACATACCCAAACGATAAAACTGGCGAGTTACTAAAGGATGAAAGCATAAATTGACACTAGCGACAATAGCCGCGTCGCAAATTCCAGATCGAATCAAATTGTAAGCTTCCACCATAGCGAAATGGCTCGAGCTACATGCAGTATCGATGTTATACGATGGTCCAGTAACGTTGAGCCAGTAAGAAATTTTATTTGCTAACATACTTTTACTGCAACCAAGTATCGGTAATCCAGCAACCTAATTACGATACAGTTTTTATATTAAAAATATTTTTTTACAATATCCTTGTATATACATATTAATACGTTCATACAGTTTCAAGAATGCATGTTTTTCTTATTGATTTTGAATAGTTAAATTATTGACATACATGAATCTGGAATAGTAAAATTATTAACATACATGAAGCTTTTCGTATACTAGATCGAGATATGTATCAGAAATTGTCATTGCTGTGACAATTCCCGTCCTTGTTCCTTGCAGTTCCACGGGATTGACACCTGCGTCAATAATTGTTGCATAGGTGTTTTCGAGCAATATTCTAGTCCCGGGATCAAGCGTATGAGCTTCTTCGATCGACATATTAAAATATTTTGCATCAAATTTTTCTATATTGTTGATTTTTCCTATTCGAGGAGGCATTTCATAGGTACCTGTCAAAATTTAAAACGATTTATATGAAAATAATATATTTAAATCATAAATAAGAACAGCATTCTTAAAGACAATATATGGACAAGATATTTTTGAGGATAAACGACATTTTTTGATTATTTTTCATTTTAACATTAAACGCAAGAAACTTTCTAACATGTTATAATAAAATGGATTTATATAAGTATAAACTGCATATAGAATATTAATTATCAATTTTAATGTTATATTTATAAGTAAACCGTATAGATATTGTAAATTCGTGAGTATCATTAATATATGTTTTAGGAGATATAAGTATTATGAGTATCATTAAAACATGTTTTAGGAGATATAAGTATTATCTTTTTAAATAAAAAAATAATGATAATCTTACCCAGGAAAAAAGTTTTGTATTTGCATACAATTATATATAAAATTATATATAAAATATACCTACATACATATACATATGTACCTACATACACATATGTTTTCTTACTCTTGTACTCTGCTGCGTATATACAGAAAAAAGAATAATTGGTGAATAATTAAAAGAACAATCTTTTTCATTCTTTCTTTTAGAAAAAATGAGTTTTGAAGAAATAAAAAAGGTCCCATGTGTAGTCAACTTTTTTTTTTATATAATTACATATAGATCACTTATCTTCAATAATTTTCTCAATTTTATTTATTTTTTATGTAAAATTTTAATTATTTTATGTAAAAATTTTAATTATTTTTTAAATTATTCTTTATTTTTGTATATAGAAATAGAGATTTCCAGAAGAAACATAGATCGATATATATATATTCTATATATACTTTAATTTATTTCATTTATTTATTTAATTTATTATATATTATTGTGTAGACTTTTTCCCAAGATAGAGAAAAAAAATTTGAGAAAAAATATTACAATTTGTCCAGCGTTGATGATCCTCCGAGCCAAGATCCATTTTATTAAAAAGATTATCCTGAAATTCTTTTATATTATCTGAACTCGGAAAGCGTCCAGCGATACCAGAGATAACTATTTCTTCCTCCGCATCAACGCTGATATATGGATTGAACCGTTTATTATTATCCATTTTCTACAAATTCTAATAAATCTGAAAAAAAATATTAGAATTTTATTTCAAAATTATATATGTATAATTTTGAAAGACAGAGAATAAAATAATTAAAGAACATTCTAACAAAATTGCACGAAAGCAATCTTTCGATAATTAGCAAACATAAATTAGAACATAGTCACGACTTCGATTGGTCTAAACCGGTTATTCTACATAATGAAAGACATGTGAGAAAGAGAGAAATTGCTGAAATGTTTTTTATTAAGAAATTTGACAACACGATTAACTTACAAAAAGACACTGAGAATTTAAACAATCTTTACGACAGACTAATAAAAGCCGTTTAGTCTTTCTTTGCATGAGTGATCAAGAAGTTGACATGACAGGGAAAAAATCTTTCTGACACAGTGATCTCTCTCATAATGCCAGTTTATTAAGATACTGTATGTATATAATTTCTCTCTTTCCGCTCACACTTATTGTAATTTATTTACTGTTTATATTTGGAATTTTAGTTTACTTGATAAGGACCAAAACCCATGGTCGAAACGTTGTGACACATTATTAACCAATAAATTGCCAGTGTGGTCGAATTATATTTTTTGAATAAAATAATCTTTGAAATAATTTACTCAAAAATTGAAAAAGAATATATACAGAAAAGAGCAAGAGAAGAATTTATACTCACCACATTCAAAAATTTAAAAAAATTGTTTATAAAAGCAGTGCTTGGCGATTCTAATAAAAACACAACTTTGTAAATCTGACTACCACAATGACTTAAATCATGGAACAAAACGCGTTTTACTAACGTCAACTGTTAAATCAGATATGAATGTATAACTTGTGTGACAAATCAATATATAAGCTTCAATCGGAAAATTTAACAGGAAAATGTGTGGATTGTATAATCAGTGTAATTTTACAATTAAAATGAAATCTACATATGCATTATGTCACAAAGTTTAACGAAAGAGCAAAGTAGAAATACGCAGTTTAAAATACGCTAATAGTTTAAAAAACATATTAATGCGATTATTGCGATAAACTAATTTGTGGTTTTTAGAAAATATATTCAAATACGAAAATTTTTTATTCAAATTTATAAATTGTAAAATGTAATATTTAAAAAAATATGTAAATTTATCTACAAATAGTAATATAAAGAATTTTAAAAGTAAAACCCTTTTTAAATTCGCAGCAATCATTATTAATTTTCTACATTAAATATTGAATTATTAATTAAATAATATTTTTGATAAAAATTTTATTGCATATTTAGTTTCTAGTAGCTATACAGCTTTAAGAGGATATTTTTTAAATTTTATTTTTTTTTATTATTTTTGAGAAAAAGATTAAATTTATTCATTCTTTTATTATTTTTGAATAAAAATGTAAAATCTTAAAAGCATTTAATGCAAAAGATAGATGTATTTATACACATACAAGTCTGATAATAATCATATTTACCTTTCGTGTGCAGAGTGGATCAAATCAAATAAAAAAGTTCCCTATCGTTTTGTATGATTTTCAAAATAATTAATGAGGAATTAATTAATAAAAATCCACATGAGAATAGATGCGTAACGAAAAGAAATATTCCAAGAGATGTTACGATTGCTAAACGCAATACATAATTAAATTTTTATACATAATTAAATTTTATTAATTGAGTACTAATTGTTTAACTATTAATCCCAATGTTTTTAATCGTACGGAAATTATTCTTGTTCAATCCAAAATTACTCTACCTGCAGATGAGACGTGATTAGATTATTACCAGACACCACATATATATTATACGTATATATTATACGTATTGATCTTAACAGTACTTGTCCTTTTCAGTTTTCAAAGTAGAATTATGCAATATAAATTATACATTTCATATTTAAATCAATATGTTATACGTAAATTCAAAGTTCATCGGAACATTATAAGAGAACTATGAATATTTAATTAAATCAAAATATGTAAATACAACAGTACAATTGTGTAATATTATTTTATACTTTTAGTACATTGTCATATTATTTTATTTATATATTTCATAATATTATTACATTCTAAGTGTGTTCTATTACTCGAATGAAAGGCGCACTTTTTGTTCAAACTGGTGTAAAAAATGATCAATATAAAATATAAATTTATATCTTACATATATTTTTTTATATATATCATTTATAACGAGATTCTATGTTATGTTTCATAACGAGAGAATGTTTTTAACGAAGAATAAATTCCAGCCGGCCTTCAATCGTGGAAATGAAATAGTGTAGAAAAGAAATGCCAACCATTTTATACAATTTGCAAGTTAAATAAAAATATAAATTGTAATTTTAATGAAAGTGTTCCTGTTGCATTATTAATGCGGTCAAATACGCGGTAGATCTGATATGCATTTACGTCAGAAACTTAGAGATTTTAAGTAACTAATAATTTTAATAAATTACAGAAAATTAACTTAGCTATGGTATCTCTAAATTGCAACCTTCCGAGCATAGATTTTAGCAATACATTAATTAAAAAAATTAAATTAATTATAAAAATCAAACAAATTTATAATACATTTTTTATTGTTTGACAGTAGAAACTATGATTTCTTGATTATATTTTTACTAACTTTCTCATCAGAATACAAGCTTAATGCAATATCAATATACTGCTCAAATCAATATTTGCTCAAATCTGCTGTTATTTTATTAGCAAACTGTTAATAATTTGTTTATTAAATACAAATCTTTTCCTAATTTATTCTTTTCAACTGAATTTTCTCTCTTATTCATATTTTATGTTTTAAACAATTATTAACTTTTTACATATCTAGATCACAAAATTATTTTTGTACAGGTTATCTTTTTGGATCATAATAACAATAACTTTCTGCATACAATTATAAAATAATAAAAGGCTCTTTTCAATTTAAATTCTTTTATAAGAATTTTGAGTTTTTTATGAAATACTGATCTTGCTCAATTGCTTCTTCGGCCTTATCAGGATAAATATTTCAACAATATGAGGACACACACAAAAAAAACGCACACAAAAAAAAACCGCAGCAATTTCTCACATAGCACTTTGCCTAAACAAAAATTCAGAGAGAGACAGAGAGAGAGAGAGAGAGAGAGAGAGAGAGAGAGAGAGAGAGAGAGAGAGAGAGAGAGAGAGAGAGAGAGAGAGTGCAAATCCACTTATATATCATCCACAGTAGTCCAATAATGGTGATAGTTTTCAATGTCGTAACAAATAAATTCATCCTAAAATGCAAAATAAACATATTACAAATATCTTGATTATTTCCATATTTCCATATTTATCTTAAGAACAAATTATTTTAATTTTATTGTCTTTATTTAATATGTATCTAAATTCCTTATATCTTAATAATCTTCTTTTTAATTTCCCGGCAATCATCTTCAACACGAAGTTAACGAAATATCTTGACGTTGTCAATGTTTTGTATATATGTTTATATGAACTGTTTTTCTTATTTTTATGTCCTGAATCCAACATTGCAATTCTTCCCACTTTATCTATATATCATAGATTATTTTATTTTTTTGTTAATTGTTTAATTATAAGTTTTTTTACATATATGACACTTTTAAAATTTTTTACAATAACAATAGATATTTAATATTTGTTATTTTATTAAATTAAATAATTTATTGATAGTTACTGTGACCCATCTCTTTATAATAATACATTTAACCTGTATAAATAAAATTTTAAATGGCTTATAAAATACACTATATAAAACAGTATACGCAATAGGGCATAATGTAAATAAAAATAAAATATAAATACAGTACTGGTTTATACTTACTATTAAATTCTTCATACTTTGAGCTAAAATGCAGATATCTCTTGTTGATCTAGTATTAGTGAAAATAGTGTACTTTAAGCTGTCATTAAATTTTACACTCGCCGCCGAATGGATTATTATAGTTACTCTTTCTATTAGCATTTGCCTATGGACAGTTGACAAACCTAAGTTTTCATCACCGGAATTCGGAATTAATTTTTTGAAATTTGAGGATTGCACTTTATCATATAACTGGAAGAGAATATATTATGTATATGACGTATTTATTATAATAATTGTGCCATGATTCTTAAGAAATCTTTAATAATATTGCATAAAAATCGTAAAATATTTTGATTATTTTATAATATCTTATTTTTAATGTTTTTTATCGTACTTTTATCAAATTTTAAAATTAATTTTCTAAAATAAAAAGCGTTTTATATAATAAAATATTTAATTTTATTATATAAAACGCGTTTTATTTAATATAATAAAAATAAGAAAAATTTTGCCACTTAAATATTGTAAAAGTTCTTAAAAAATACGGTGTTGCACAAAACAGAATCTACTTATGTAATAACCAATAATTAATTTAACGGCAATAATATTTTTTCGAGCCTTTCATTGCTAATTAAAGGATTAATGCTTAATCCTTTCTTCGAATGCATTAATATGCATGTCTCAAGAACACACATCTGGGCAAGATCGCAATATCTTCTCGATGTACACTTTACCCAGAAATCCTGTTGCGCCTGTTAAAAATATACTTTGTCCAACGTAAAATGTCGCAATTGAATTGGCTGGATGAATTATATTCTCATCCATTGTTAAGTAAAAAAATAAAACCAATATAAATTGTAATAACGACAATAGCCAAAAATATATGCAAGCACTCGAAAATGGAATCGTCTGTTTTATATTGATACCATTATTAATAGGAATATGATCGGATAGAAGATAAATTGAGATTAGTCATCAACGACGTACGCTATTTAATGAAAACATAACCGTTATATGCTATATAATCATTTGCATAGCAGACATGTGTTAATAAAACGGAAATTCTGCAAGTTAAAGTTGAAAGAGCAAACTTATACACAATGCAGTGGTCTATATCTAAATATTCTAATGATATAAAAGGATTTTGCAATTTATTCTACATGTATAATATGTGTAATTTTACAAAAAAATTGGATATAATCCATTGTATATTTAAACTATTTCGTTATAAATAAAAATAAATATATCAATTCAAATTAAATTGAAATAAAATAATTTAAATTGAATAAAATATTTATACAGAGTGTAACTAAAAAAGCGCCCACGGGATAAATAGCGTTATTCCTGATTAAAAATCGAGTCAAAAAGTTCTGAATTATTTTTCTCTATGATGCTTAATAAAGCGGTAATAATAATAAAATATATAATAATAAAATAAAAATGATAAGATGGGTCTTATTTTAGCAGAATATTTATTTTCGGAGAAAAAAAGTTCTAGTTAATAATATTTAATATATAATACTTTGGTTCCTTTCCTATTCTTATTAAGTAACCTCATGCTTAACTCTCAATATAAATTATAAATAAAAGAAAAATAAAATTCAATTCTTCTCTTTAAAAGAAGAACTTCTAAGAATATTTTCTAAGTAATCTTTATTGTATTGATTGTTATTTAATATCCAAAAATAAATATTTTGCTAAAATAATGCCAGTCTTATCATTTTTATTTTATTATTTATATTTTTATATATGTTACATAAATATAGATAAAAAACTAAAAACACTAAAACAAAAACTTTTTCGCAACATACACACATATTAGTTTTTAATTTTTTTACAATTTCTTTTCTAAATAATCATATTATTGTATTTATTTGCGATATATATATATATATATATATATATATATATGTATATATATATATATATTATTTGCGATATTTTAAACGGTTCTAAATAATAGTTTAAAACAGTTTAAAACAAAAATGTATAAAACAGTGGACATTGTTTTAATCAAAAGCATGTTTTAAACAAGCAAAAAACACTTAATAGCTTTGATCTGTGTAAATATTTAAATTTTTCGCTAGCGTTAAACTGTAAATAACATTGCCAAAATTCACAATGCTATTAAAAATATAAATAATAAAATAAAAATGATAAGATAGGTAATATTTTAGCGGAATATTTATTTTTGGAGTTATTTATTTTTGGAAAAAAAAAGTTCTAGTTAATAATATTTAATATATAATACTTTGATTCCTTTCCTATTCTTATTAAGTAACCTCATGCTTAATTCTCAACATAAATTATAAATAAAACAAGTTTTAAACACATTGTTTAAAACGTGTCCTGTTAATCACAGAAATGATCAGTCGCCTATCGCATTTAATTTAAACGTGGATTACCCGCCATTTTTTCCCGCCACATGCGCGTTTAAAATATGACATGCGCAGTTCATTCAGATCGTCCGGATCGTCCGGATGGCAGCATCGTAAGCCTGATGTATCGAGGTTAGAATCGACCTTACAATCAACCAAACAAGATCTGAATGAATTTAGACTGCGTCTGAAGCTAATATAAAAAAGAGGCATCAAGATCGATCAAGATTGAACAATTAAATACAATTTTATCGAAGACTAGAAAAATAATATAACGTTACAAAAATAGTATAACGTTACATTAAACATGCAGAGATAGATTTGCTAAACAACTTTTAAGTCAGAAGCACTTTCCAGTTAAAAGAGAGGAAAAAATGATTCACGGGTATGTCTTTTTTGTCAAAATATTATAAAAAGTTTATACAAAAGTTTATACTTAATCTTCTAACTTTCATCTATATTTGACAAAATTCTAACTTTATTTGTATTCGTAGCAATTTCTCAGATATACCCTGTACCAAGAGTCTACAGTTTTGTGCCTTTGCATTGATCGAAGAGATTATATTGCAGGTGCAGCAGGCTCTGCGTAAGTGGCTTGAAGCTATCAGCGCAGCGTCTCCTGCCATCGAGATGCGCCAGTACAATGTCCAAGGTAGAGGCGAGGAAGCGGAGGAGTCAGCTGTTCGACGAGGAGAAGCAAAGGCAGCGATCCGAGCTGGGCAGGATCGAGAAGATAGAAGTGACATACAAGTCGGTGGAGGACGATGTAGTGATGGTGATGAACCGTAATATTTCCACGCCGTACGACTGCGCCAGGCACATCTCCGAGAACGTCGCCAAGACGGCTGCCATTGCTCTGGTAGACGGTCGTGTCTGGGATATGCACAGGCCATTCACTGGCAAGTGCGAACTGGAGCTGGTAACTATGCAGAGTCCAAAGACGGGAGTGGTCAATTATGCCTTTTGGCGCACGTGTTCGATGATACTGGGTGCCGTGGCGGACAGCGCGTTCAAGGACCACGTGGACGTGCACTTGCACAGCTTCCCTGTACCACAAATCCATTCTGGAAGCTTCATCTACGACGTGTTCATCGATCTACCGAACTGGCGACCGACCGATTCCGAGCTGCGCGCCATGTCCGCGCTTTTCATCAAGCTGACAAATCAGGAACTGCTGCTGGAGAGACTAGAGGTGCCGTGTGACGTCGCATTACATATGTTTCAGGTATGAAATAAAGAAAGGTTTAATACAAAATTAAAATTTGTATGTTTCATAAAGATTCTGTTGAATATCATTTCCATATATTCTTCCAGGATAATCCCTTCAAGTCTCAGCAAATACCTAATATCGCCAAGAACAGCGACAACGACAGAGTGACGTTGTACCGTCTGGGAGATTATGTGGACATCAGTAAAGGTCCCATGGTAAGTAGCAGCGGTCTGATGGGACGCGTCACCGTGTCAGCCGTGCACAAACTCGCGGACGGGCCCGTGGACGGGCTGTATCGTTTCCAGGGCATCGCCCTGCCCAAGGGTATTCTGCTCAATCACTTCGCCTTTTCTATCCTGGAGAAACGCGCCAAGAAACTTAACACCGCCATGTGGCAGCCTCATATCGAGGGTGAGATGATCAACGTGACAGCGTCCATGAACTAGTGATCAGCAATTGAAGAAGATCCTCGTGTAAATAAGTCATCTTTTAGTCATGTATCTTTTTGAATGCATCGTTGTTTGTCTGATTACTTTTGTTGCGTTTCCATGGATCAAAGATAGATCACAACTAGAGATCCTAGAAATAGAAGGAACTATTTCGATAGGAAAAGAGTTTATACGATTTTTTGACGTCAAACAATATAATTACAGTAAGCGATAGATACTCAAGTGCCTGTATATTTATTAATTTTTCTTTTCGTCGAGAGATTCCTTTCTAGGAATCCTTCCTTTTTAATTAGCATTTTTATCGATAAATCGCAATGTATTAAAATCACCGGATAAAATGCGACTAATTTATTCTTCACCTTCAGAGATATCAAAATCGGACGATCACTATATATTATTGTACATCACATATATAAGAGTGTATAAGATTCAGCGACACTGCGAATGCCTTATTCGAGGACCGCGTACCTCCCAGGTAAAATCGCCCGGTAATCTATTAGCTTTGGACGCCATGCATCTCGTACTCAATTTCAGGTACAATTCTTGACGCGAGTTGACACCGCGGTCTTCGAGGTCGTCGACCTTCAGGCTCGTCCTTGTCGACAGCGGCGCCAATTCTGGCGAGCATCTAAACGAATTAATATATTTATACGTCACTTTATCTTTTCCAATGACCGAGAAAATTCTGATGCAAATTTCAATCGACCTTTAAACAATTTATTATTTTATTATGAAGTAAAAAAATATATTTCTTTTTGCAATTATTATGATTCAGGGAAGAAGAAAAAGGTTCTGAGGAAATCATTTGCGAAGGGAAAAATTCAAGAGATTTTGCAATCTACATCATTTTTCTCATGGAGTCACCTCAATTCAACTTTGATGACCAAATCGAAGCGATGCGGCCTATTAGCCTCCTCCTCGAATTCTCCGCTAGTGTTCTCCACGTTACTAGATCTCGCGTATCTGAATTTATTCTCATAAGCATACTTGCTCATGTTACCGTAATAGAAGAATTGTCCGCCGTATTCGCCGTATCCCGAATACGTGGAAGCTGGCGGTGGCTTTCGAGGTGGCAACGACGAAGCCTAGAAAAATGCGTCTTTAATTGCGCTTACAATTTAAAAACTATCGTCCTCTTTTTTGTTGAAAAAAATGTTTCAAAAGTTCCGGATTGTTATTATATATTATTATATATACAGTATGGTAATTAAATAAAAAAAGTAAATTTTCTAAGAGAATCAGAATTATTAATATAATATATTTATATAAATTATTTATATAAATATATTATATTAATAATTATACAATATTAATAATATAAATTATTTAAATATTAATAATTATATTATATTAATAATTTAAATATTAATAATATAAATTATTTATATAAATTATTAACATAATATATTTATATAAATTCGATTAAAATAGATTTCATCATAATTATTATCATTATCATTAATTATTTCTCTTTTAAATAAAAAAAGCTCGTTATTTAGTCTCGTTATTTAATCGCTGTACTGTGTATTGCGACCGATTTTACGGGAATTACTGTTGCTCGAAGAAGGACCTTGCGCTCGTAATGCAACTTGTGATACAGATGCTTATTGAAGCTGCCGACCAGACGGCGCAGTCTAAGATACATGTAACGCTGCCTGTCTCGCCAGCAGTGCTCGTTGTTCACGTTGGGCACCTGTAGACACGTGAACCACGTGCGTCTCAGGACGTACTTGACTTGCATGCTGACCTGAAAATTGAATTGAACGCGGACTCACGAGTCTGCGGTTTAAATAATTAACTTTGTTGCGAGAATTTCCCTCGAAAAGTGTCTACAAGATAATTCACGTATTATTTGCGAGAATGAAATAAACAAATATCTTCCACAAGAGCAGTTTAAGTTAATGATTGATTAGTTGAAATAAAATTAGTAATTAATGTAAAGTCAAGTGGATTAGAAAATGTATACTTCTGGAGGATATCTTTGAGGCTCATCATCGAAACAAGTTTGTCAACATCTCCACAATCAAGCGCAAAAAAATACTTAGCATAGGATTATATTGAGAAATATCCTTTACCATGGGATTTCCTGTCCTCGACGAAGTTCTGAGGGACAATAGTTGTCGACCCTCTCCCAGACAGTCTAGGACGTCGACGATCTTGCAACCCGAGACTAGAGCGGATCTATCGGTGATTTTTCTTTTTTTTACTAACTTTTCTTCATTGATTATACTTGATTTATTGATCGGTTCATTAAAGCAGTCGCAGAAATAAAATAATTACTGCCCGATCGAGGATCGTAAGTTGATGAAGAGAAGTACCGTTACCTGTTTACCCTGCGCTCGGTGATCTTCTCGAAGTGATCCATGAAATTCTCGCAACTGCGAATAAAGATCTGCAAGTCGAGGTAGTTGAAGACATTCGTGGGTATTCGACCAGAGTCCAGGACCGTCTGTAGCAAGCAGTTGAGATTGTCGAGGATTCTACCACCGTAGAAACACGAAATAGGCGAGCCACGCGACCTTCAACGATGAATAAGAAAGTATGTATATCGATTTCCCTCTCTCTTATTTTTTTTATTCTCTATAATGTACACACATATACATACACATATTTTAATGTAGTCTTTTTAAATTTTAATACAGTCTTAATTTTAATGTGGCTTTTTAAAATGTAATTTTTTTAAATTTGCAAAACTTAGAAATTTATTAAAATTTTCTTAAAAGATAAATATTGTTTATAAAAGTATAATTATCTATATGTATGTGTGTAGGGTACAATAATAAAAAAAATTTCAATATTAATACACACACACATACACATATATATTTGAATATTGAAAATTTTTTTAAATTATCTTAAATATGCGGATATATTTTTAATCCTCAATTTTTTCAACAGAGTCCCGTAAAATTTCTCATTTGTCCGCAAGAGATATAGATGAAAACCTTGGGTGCGTATATCGCCACGTAACTGCCCTTAACATTTGATACTGGGAGCGAATGATTTCCAGCGCGTTGAAGATGTTGTTATATTCAAGTAACTCCGTGTCGCTCTTTACGTTGTTCAAGAGACTCTCCGTACGTTTTATCGCAGCCTCCAGCTTTGTACCGGCCACCAGAAACTCGCTGTTTAATACTGTGGCTGCGATATCGAAGCAACGTCTATTGCAGAGGGATTAAAGAGGATTAGACTTTGTCTTATGATTCCTTTGATATAAATTTATATTTAGGAAAAGCTTCATTTTAAAGCTGGATTTTAAAATAAGACCTATAAGATTTTGAAAGGAAGGCAACAATATTCAAAGATCCTCGCTTTTAAACCTGAATTTTAAATGATCAAAGTTGTAACGATCTTTCGCTCTTTAATGAGTGAGAAATTTCTCTCTTTCGTAATTTTTAATTTATCTAATAAAGACTATAAAGATCTTAAAGTAAGATCGTAAAGTAAGAATTAAAATAAGAAATTAAATTTATATTAATTTTCATTATTATTACTTGTGCTTTAGGATTTTTCTTTTAATACTAAATTTAAAAATTAATAACACGTCTTAATATTAGATCTAAGAATTAATAACACAACATTTATTTAAATGAATGAAAGCGATATATCTAGATTTTTAGGAAAAAATTATTTCCTAAATGTCATATAATTAATTTTAATTAAATTTAATTTTAAATTAATTTAAAATTAATTTTAATTAAATTTTGGTAATAATATTTCTTCGAAATCATACACATTTCAAGATAATTCCAAAATCTCTCCGCGATTTTTAAAATAGTCTCAAACGTTTATTGTAATGAATCGACAGACATCTACCTGGAGATCAGACGAACCGTGCAAGCGACATCGTGTAATGACAGCATCCTCAGGATGATGCTGAGAACTTCCGGCGGCATCGTATCCAACGTACACCGCGCATTTTTGCATCCTCGCGCGTTTCGCGAAGACACTCTTTGCCGTTTCGGAGTCATTTAACTCCTCTTTTTCGAATCGTCCTTCGAATCGTAACTCGCGATCGCGACCAATCACGTAACCGATCGCGATCAATCACAAAGATCACGTCCGTTCTCGCATAGCGTTCGTGATCGCTACGGGATTTCCGGTTGCAGAAAGGACAGGAATTTCCCAAATTTTGCGAAAGTCCTTTAAGAGAGCGAGAACTCCCGAAATTTGCGCGAAACAAAGGAATCATCTGATCTCGCAATCCTTCCACTCCGATGATAGCTTCAGAATATCGAGGACAAGCGAAGAATCACACATTTATGTTCGATAGTATAAATAGTTAAAATATAATGAAAATTCATTTAATAATGAATTATTAAATAATTATAATTTTATTATAATTTTAATTATATTATATTATATAATTTTATTATAATAATAAAATTATAATAATATTAATTATTATAATAATATAATAAATAAAAATTATTATAATAATATTATATAATTTTATTATAATTTTAATTATAATAAAATTATAATTATTTAATAATTAATTTAATTATTATAATTTTAATTATAATTTATATAATTTTTATCACAATTATTGTAAGTTTATTTTTATTAGAAGCGAAACACATGTAGATTTTTTATTTATATGAAAAGAAAGTTTTTTTGTATATTTTATCAATTTATATTATCAAGCACAACACGTGGTAAATGAAAAAATTTCTATATCGATTTATTCCGCAAGAATAAATTCTCCTCTGACGTAAATCATATGGTTATGTTGAGGAAATAAGAATCGCAAATTATTTATAAATTTCTTTTTAAATTCATATTTTTTGAGTAATTGCTCGCGTATCGTCATTAAAATTCTTTTCAAGTCGTATATAGTTTTATTATACATGTATCTTTTTTCTAGGAAATCTAAGCTAATGCGCAGATAATAGAATGAAATACAAGATAATGATTTCACTTGTTTAAGTTTAAGATTTATTTTTTTGTGAGGTATGGAATAACAGGTCGAATATAATCAGTAAATTCACATGATTTCGATTTGTCAGTCAAATACTTTGTCATTGAATTTAAAAAAAGTTATCATTTAAATATATTATTTTTTGGTCGCTAAGAATCTTAGAATTTGAAGATTGATCGAAAATTTCTGGTCACCGAAGATTTGAGAAATAAGAATTTCAAGCCTTCAAAAATTTACACTTCGAGAAGCCGAAAATTTTAAGTATACAAGATCTAACTGAGAACAATCATAGATCGAGTAATGAAGTTTTTAGTTTTCAAGAAATGTCAACTTTCACGGCTAAGAATCCATTCTTCTAAGCAAAATGGCAAGATTTCCATCCTCCAAGTAGACAAAAGATTCGAGAATCCAATCTTTCAAGCATCCAGAGTTCCAAGAAGCTAAAGCATCGAAGGCCCCATGGTTCCAGGGATACAATGTTCCAGAAAGAAATCTCAGGTCTCGTGGATTCGAAGGAGAATAATTAAACATTTTTTATAATTCGAAGTTGAAGGATCCACAGTAAGCTTTCAAGGCGACGAAAATCTCTTCAGTTTTACGTGCTAAAGTTCACCGGCATCAGTAAAGTGAACTTGGCCTGATCGATGTTCGCCTCTTCGGTCGCGCACGGCCCGATGCTGTCTAATAAGCTCTGTATCGCGCTTTGATTGCTCGGGTGTTTTCGCTTGGTGTGCTCGCGACGATGCTTAAGTTCCTTGAATGTCTTGCCGCATTGTTCGCAGCTGTAAGGTCTGGCAGCCTCGTGGGAGCGCACATGGCCCTCGTAGTGGCTCTTCCTGACGAACTTCTTGCCGCATTGGCCGCAATCAAACTGAAAACGACCCTCGTGAGCGGCCACATGCGAACTCAGAGTCCACTTGGTCTTGAAAGTCTTGGAGCAGTAGTCACACCTGATCTTCGAATCACCTTTGTCCGCCCTTCGAGGATCTTTCTTTAGCAACAGCATTTCTTCCAGAAAGAACTCTGCCTCGCTAGGATCCTTGGGTGTCGAAGACTTGTCCACAACTGCTGGATTGTGCAGGATGCCTTTGGTCTGTTCCTCTGGCTTTGACTGGTTCTTTGGCGTTGTCTGAAAGAAGATATGTAAATATCTTCAACATACCTGAATACATTTTCTTATTAATGTGCTGCCTCTCAAGTATTTGCTTGGCTATCAAAGTCTACCAGTTTAACAATCATGTAAGGAAAATAAATAATTTTCAAAATAATATCAGAAAGACTTACAAAAATATTTTTTGCAGAGAACTAATAAAGTCTGAAAAGTTTTATCTATCGTCAAGAGATGATACCTTGCCATGCGAGGCCAGGTGGACCTTGAACTTATCCTCGTCGCTGTATTTTTTCTTGCAACGCGGGCAGGCATAGCCGCCCTTGTCTTCAGCGCCGCGTAAAAGGGTACCCCGTATTGTCGTGTCGCTCGCGGCATTTTCGACAACGACCTTGTGTTGATCGGCCAGCTGCAGCTTCTCCTTTCGCATCGCGTGCCGAGCTATATGTCGCTTCAAGTCGTGTGCCCTGGAAAACGCTCGTCCGTATCTCGAGCACGTGGGAAAGGGACAGCCCTTCGTCCTGTCGTTTCTCGGACTGGTAAGAAAAAGGATATCTTTTTATTAATTGATTAATAAAATTATTAATCTTATTAATCTTTATTCTTAATTTTTATCTTATATTTATAATATAATTATAATAATATTAGAATTATATTTATAATATAATTATTATAATATTTATAATATATCTATAATTTATATCTTAATTTTTATGATTCTAAATATCTAACTATCAACAAGCTATCATTATTCAGGATATAACAGTCTATAAAAATTGAAGAATGAAAGTGGAAGCCAAAGTTGTCCTCGTAAAAAATTATAAACATTCTGAAGCCCATAGAAGATTGAAAATCCCGACACCCAAGTAAGTTTGAAGGATATCAGAAACTATGCCTACCCAAAAAATTTAATTATTTCATCCAATAATTTCTCTACCTTCGAGCAGGATTAGCAGCGGTCGACTGTTTCGCGTCCTTGCTGCAATCCTTGCAGTTCTTGTCGACCTTCTGGCTGGCCATTGTAGTGAGTTGCGCCGATAATGGTATCAGGATGGAGATGGTCTCGTTGGATCCAGGTGTGACGATGGGTCCCACGTGAATCGCTGGCGGCGTCGCCAGCGAAATTCCACTCTCACCACTCCTACTCATCCTGTTGATCCTGTGAGTGACCGAGTAGTCCTCCTCAAGTAGGCTGTTTTGTTATCCTGCAGTCTGTGAGATAATATATCAATTATTATTAATTCTAGGAGTCCATCCTGTTTTAATTAATAACTGTCATCTTTTAATTAACGAGTCACAATAATTATTGTCAATTATATATATTATATTGTGTATTATTAATTTGAACAGGACAATCAATGTAATGTGCTCATTAGTTTATAGGTTTATTGATTTAATTTAATATTGTACAATTTTGAAACTTCCTTAAGGCACGTTTATAATCTTTATAAATATCATGTGATTTGTAGAGAGTCAACGAAAATTGATGCGCGTTTGCGAGACACCCTATATATTCCGCAACTTTCGGAAGGGCTAACGCAAACCGCGATCGATGGAAGGTCGTTTATTCACGCGTACCAGAGAGATGCACATCTGTCGAGGGAGAGGAAAAAAGGGAAAAAAAAGGAATATCGAAAATCAGTATAACTTGGGCGAGGTCCACAGGATTTTCCCGATTTCCACGAAAATGATACCTCAAAGGAGACTCGCCAACGAAGCTAACTTCAGACACGTCTATCAGAAATTTCAACTCACCGAAGCGATACTCCCGGCCTGGATCCGCTGCAGAGACAACGTTATCAGGGAAATCGCGGAAACGCGATAAGGGAAGAGTCGTCGATAAGTTTATCGATACCTGGGCTCCTCACGTTCCCATTTAGGAGAAACGTCAACCTCACGACGAAGGTATCACGACATCGGACGTCACCGAAGCGTCGAAGAAACGTCAACGAGACTCTCCTCGCAACCGTTTAGCTCGTTTACAATCGTCGACCTACGAAAGAGCGACGTCCAGAACACGAGAGGGAGGAACGAGGGGTATCTCGAGGACGTTTTTAGCGAAGCGTCACCGACGCCGAGGGAGTCAATCGCGAAAATCCGTCCCTTGTGCCTCCACCGCGAACTCCCGGATGATGAGCAACGGAAACGTCCCACTGGCTCGCGGAACCTCGGTCGACGTTCACGAAATCCCCGCGAGCGAGAACTCTTACGTGACGACGCGACGCTACTTCATGGTGCGCACGCGATCACCAGGTGCGGCCATCTTAATGCGAGGCTCCCGTTTCGTCTCCCTCGGTCTCGACACGCGAGCTAATCGCGCCCAGTGGAAACGCTAGTGCGCATGTCACGAGTGTTGCGTTTGAAAAGTCGGAATTCTCCGCGGAAGACCATTTTCTTTTTTTTCCTTTAATCGTTACATTTTTTTTCTCTTCTTCTATCTGTCAGATCCTCTCGACGATTGCGTTCCTTGGAGTCGATTTTTCCTCGAAAGTGTGTCAGTAATTTTTTAATTAAAGATGTAATTGAAAGAAAAAATGTTTGAATATTTAATCGAGATAGTATATTTATTTAATTTTATGTAGTTTATTTTAATGGAATTCTTATTAGAAGTGTATTTATTATAATTTTTGTTAGAAACTTATTTATTATAATTTTTCAGAGAAAACATCGACTGAAAAATCTGTCAAATTAAAATGACACTTGACGTCGTTTTTTGAAACACGTTATATATTGATAAATGACAAAAATGTAAAAGTAAAAGCTTATTTATTATAATTTTTATCGAGGAAACATCGAGTGAAAAATTTGCCAAATTAAAATGACACTTGACGTCGTTTTTTGAAACACCCTATATATTGATAAATGAGAAAAATGTAAGAGTAAGAGCTTATTTATTATAATTTTTGTCGAGGAAACGTCGACTGAAAAATCTGTCAAATTAAAATGACACTTGATTTTTGAAACACCCTATACATTGATAAATGAGAAAAATGTAAGAGTAAAAGCTAAAGAGAGGGGAGAGATTTACAAATTAATTGAAATTCTTGCAAATATGTATCTCGGTAAAGAAAAATTCTCTGCAAAGATTTTTAAATCTTCGACATACGCATAAAACATACATCATCTCTCTCTATGAGTATAAAAATAGAAGTGAGCGAGTATATCGATACTTTTGTCCGCAAGTATTATACATTCGATACCGTGTGACTCTCAGCTTCGGAATTTCGCGGTTTCAGCGAGGAAAATCAATTTGTGCGATATCATGAAAGCCTTCGACTCCAAATGGCACCATCTTCTCAGGCTATCCTCTCTCTTCTTTTTTTTTTATTCCTCTCTCGCCCGGCCGGATTTCTCGCTCACTTTCCTCGACGCGATGAAAGTATGCTACTGATCGGCCGATTCGAGTGCGATGATGGAAAAGCCCGTAGATGCGAGGAAAATGGGCGGGAATAAAGGAAAATGCGCGCGCGCGCGCAGGCGATGATTCAATCAGAACGATTCAAATACTCGCGACGAAGGATAGTATTCTAACTCTAGTTACATCCAGGAAAAAATATATATTTATGATATTATACAAGCATTAAATTCTTAGTCCAAAATAGTTTAATAGTTAAGACTAATATTTTGAAAAATATGCAAGAATTTTATTTCAAATTAAAATCTCGATGTTCCAGAAGCGATTTTTTATTGTAAAATCTAGGGGGAATTTTTCTTACAAAATTCTCCTCTTTTGTAGATACAATATCTTTTTATATCAATGGAATCTTTTCGCTTTTCAATCTCAATTATATGAAAAATACAAATAATGAGAAAATTCAATGGAAAAAATTGTCTCTGGATGTTGAGAAAATTTCTGTGTGAGAGAAATGTCAAGTTAAATATATAGATTGTGATGTATAGAGCTGATACGTAGAAGCGAATCAAATGTATTTAGTAAATGGCCATGCGTGTGTGTGCTGTAATTACTATTAGTAATTACATCAGAGGCACAAAATAGGATATTGTCATGAATATATACGGTGTTTCTCTGACGCACACAAAACTGTATGCACAAAACTGTAGCAATTGTTTTTCTTTTCTTAGCATAATCGCTGTTAAATTTCAAAGAAAAACTTTAGTTAACATTTCTACTTTTTAAAGCTCTTTAAAAAAAAAACTCTTTTATTTAATATTTAAATTTAAATCAGTCCAGTGTAAAATTTTCGAATTTTGTAATGAAAAATGGATTAGAGATAAAACACTGAACTGATATTTAAATTTAAATATTAATATAATAATATTTAATAAGATTAAATTTTTTTCAATATGTTAAATTTATAGCAAATAAGTAAGAGATTTGCTGAAGAAACTAAAAAAAGATCTATTATAAATTTTAATATAAAAGATAGATAGATTATCAATTTTTCAATTATATTTCATAATTTTAGCCTTTTTTTATAATTTTCTAAAAACACGCAAATGTGAACGTCAAGTGACATCTTCTGATCTATTTCGATCTTATTTGACAGTCTTGCTTTATCATTACGTTATCGAAACAAATAAAAAGATAAATATAGAGATATGTTGAAAGTTAGAAAGAAAAGCCATTTCTTCGCGGAGAATGAATGCCTGCAAGAGGGACATCTGCATTTATATAAGGATTTCGATGCTGAGAAGCTACTTCTGTCGTTGCGTAACTGTGTCGAGCGAAATGCATTGTGAATCGAACTGTCATATTGTATTTCAAATTGGAAGCGCACGTTCTCGATATAACAATTCCAAAGCTAAGATTACCTATTTTACTTTATACCATGTATAAATTAATTCTACATTTTATATTTTCATATTTTTAGGGCGGTTCGGATGGCCAATTCAGAAGTAATTGCAAGAAGGACATTGTCAAGGAAGACATGATGTATGAAAAAATAAATGCATCTTGTCCTGAGATATTTCGGGAATCTACCAAAGATATTCCATTACAATCACTTCATTAAAATTGAAGTAAATTAATAGAATCTTCGGATGCTTGAAGATCATCGGAGATACATCTTCCACAGGATCCCAGGAATACTTTGGCGTACTGTGGAATATACATATTTACTTTATGAATGTCGAAACGCGTACACCTACACAGTAACACGCAGGCACGCGCAAAGTGCTGCTTACATAGGTATGTACGTGCAATTAATAATTAAGGCTAATTAAGACTTCGTCCTGTGACCGAATACGCTCCCATGGTATGTCGCGTGCTCCCTTCGCGAATCGATATCTCTAACTTCATCATTTATATAGCATACCCTTATTAAAGAGCATTGCGTTCCATCCGAGCTAATGAACTGATCATAATTTATTGTCGTTTCTCTTTTTTCGATGAAAAAAAGCGTAACATTTTCAACAGAAAGGAATGAATTTTTCCCATCTTTATAATTTGCTAAAGGATACAATTTCACTGGCGTATTTTCCCCTTTAATTTCGAGCGCGAAATATAGAAATGTTTCCACACGGTGTAATTTCGAGGACTTTAAAGCGGGATTGCGTCTCGTCTTTTCCGGCTGAGTAAACAACCGTGAAAGTTTTAACTGATCGCGACCAATGTTCCGGAAAATATCTTTACAAGCCTCGGGACCCATCATCCTGTTTATTTTGATTCCGACGTTTACTCAACCGGATCATTTACAAACGGCCGTAATTATTGTCCGGTCATAGTTGCAGAAAATGAAATAAAACGATTATTACGAGTGGCTACGTATAAGGAGCGTCTATATGTCAATATCAATATCCTCGGCTTTCTATCTGTTTATTATTTACAATGTCAGATTCAATGAGAAGGGAGGGGAGTACGACCTACATATATTTAATCATGATAGTTTCATCCTCACTTCTACTTCTCTCCCTACTCCTCTCGTCATGGATCTTTTAATTAACATTTATTTATTAAATATTTTTTTATTAAATATTATATATATTAAATATTAAATATTTTTTTTATTTATTTTTTCTTCTCTCTCTCTCTCTCTCTCTCTCTCTCTTTCTCGTAATTAAAATTAATTATCAAAATTTATTCTCTTATCGAACATGTATATGTATAATATAAATAACAAAACTTCGATATAACAAATGTGACGCAATGTACAAAGTAAAAATGGACATTACTATAATATACATCTTATATATTATAAAGTATTATATTTACACAAGAAATGTGTGAGGTATTTTATCTATAAAAACCGAACACAGATTTTGGTACTTGGATTGTATAAAGGCTGTAAAAAATGATACGTACTAATAATTAAACAAAAGTGAATTAATAACATGTGTATATAGATGAAAATAATTCATTTAGCGACAATTGACTATATCTTATGCAATTTTATTTAAATAAAATTCTATTCCATATACCAATCGGGTTAGCATGTAAAGTAGAGCATCAAATCTCTCAAGGTCAATTAGATTGGCGTATTTGGAACGCAATGAATTATTGATGTAATAGAACAGATGTAAAATTTTGTACGTATGTACATGAAATGTATACGTAAAATTAAATTAAATATTAATTAAAATAAATAGTAATGAAATGAATTGCTTCCAATGTTGATTTTTAAAAATCAGCAGACTGTACAATATGTAATAATACAAACGGAATGTGCATTATATACAGAGAATTATGCACTGTTACTGTACAATAGCATATTTACAATGTTGATATTTACAAACGTGTTTTTAACTACTGCTCATCGTCGTCGTGGTTGGCATGGATTGTACTGTTAATCCAGTTTAAGTAATGCTGTATCTCGGTATATACATCTGGATAACCCGGTCTGGCACAACCGGAGCCGAAGGAGGTAACACCGACCAACTGCCACGCGCCATCAGAGCGACGACACTGCAGAGGTCCACCAGAATCACCCTGAAGATAAACAAAGAAATAAGAATTAATAATACGTAATCATGGACCAAGTTAAAAACCGTGTCTTCTAATTTTTCTTCTTCAGAAATTAATCATTTTCTGCATACATATCCATCTCCTTATTTTTAATTTAAAAGATATTATTTTTATTATATAATTTTTATATTATAATTTTTTAATTTAAAAAGATATTATTTATTATATAATTTTTATATTATAATTATTTAATTTTAAAAAATATTATTTTTATTATATAATTTTTATATTATAATTATTTTTAATTTAAATTTCTTAATTTAATTTTCAGAAAACTGTGTTTACCACGCAACTTCCGGAAGAACCGTCAATGTGTCCGGCACAGAGATGACCTTTCCTGATGGGCACCGACGTGCCATAAGCTTGGAGACACTCTTCGAGGTCCAGAAGAGGAACACTGACTTCCAGAAGGGCGGTAGAGAGCGAGGGCGAGGGACCGTATCGGCCCCAACCGGAGGCCACGCATTGTCTTTTGCCGATATACTGCTCAGGACCGGGAAGACAGATAGTGCGAACGACCTTTGATAGAGGTGCTGGCCTGGCGAGCTTCATTAGGGCTACAAGGACGAGATTCTATCAGGATTCCAGAGAGCTTTGGAAAAGGTTTTCAATTTTTTTGATTTAATTTCGAATGTCTTAGGTTTAATTTAGAGAAAATATCAATAGAATGGATCATTAATGGAATAGAATAGAATAAATGAATCTTTAATAGAGCTTAAGAAGAGTGTTGATATAAAATGAATAGAATCACAGATTTATTTTTATTTGAATAGACTCACCTATGTCGTGCACGTAATTATTGAACCTCTCGTGAAGAATCACCTTTTCGACGGGCAAACGAGCGGATCCGCGTCCCCCCGCGTCCAGTTCCCATTCGCCGACCACCGCTGTCCATAGCGCGCCGATGGGCAAATTAAACAGCTCGCTGAAGTAAACACCCATTTTGAGTATACGAAGCATGAAGTAAATAACTGGAATAAGCGTCCACTTGACTTGAATTTTGAGTTAAGAATACATCGAAGAGTTTCACGAAGAAAGAAGAAGGAAGATATCTAAGAAAAGTAACTCTCTCGAGGAAAAATGAAGTTTGGCCAAAATTAAGACTAGATCACGATTATGAAATTTCGTCAAACTCTCCACGAGGCTCGGACTCACTTGTGAATGCAATGGGCAACGGTGATTACCCATCTGGGATCGATCAACACACCGCCGCACCAGTGGCCGATGAAGCCCAGCTTTGGATGCAGCAACTGAAGAGATACCTGCCAAGGCCACGCGCCCTTCCTGCTGGGTTTGCCGTTGAAGATGCGACCGGTGGTCGTGGTGGTGGCGGTGGCGGTGATCGTCGACGAGGACGAGACGTCGTCCTTTAACAGCAGTCCTTGGACCTTCGACGGAGCAATCGATCGTGGTTGCCTCTGCGACGCTGCCGGACATCCGCATTCTGTTATCCAAACTCCAATTTTTTTATCGTCTTTGCGAATTATGATCTTTGAAGTCTATCGAGTTAAATATGACCCTTTATAAGGATTTTTGGTAGGATTCGGAAATATATATCGTTAAGAACTTCTAGAACGTCTAAGATTAGTCAGTAAAGGATAAATACACGAGATTATCATCTTATAATTATAAGAAATCATAAGAGAAGAGATATCATTAGAATATAAAAATTGAACTCAAACATTGATCAAACCTAATTCCACTTATATTTAAAATCCATATCACGTGTCAAAAGTCTAAGACCAACTGCAGATTGCAAAAATCAAGGATAAATTGTGAGCTTGAAGAATCAGAAATTGCAACATCCGATCTAGATCGAGGAAATTGTCAGAAAAATCGTAATGTCAAAGTGGTACTCACTGGAATGATTCTCCCCGACGATCCTCATCATGAAGCACTGGGCCTCCGCCAGGACGATCACCAGCAGGACAACCAGATCGCCGCGAAGACGGCACATCGCCAGGGAAATGGAGAAAATCCACGACGGATAACTACGATTTATGGATCCGCATAGCCCGACTGGCTTCGGCGACGCCGAGTAGGATTAGCGCGAGAGGAGATCCTTCAGCTTCGCGCGAAGCGATCTCGAAGAAAGTGATCGTCGAATGGGGCGCGGGAGGGGGGAAAGCGAGCGATGATGTAGTCCGGCAGAGATGCCGAGGAATGTGAAAAAGTCCTAAAATCTCGACCGTCATCGTTCGCGGACCCTCTGGTGGTCCCCCAACTGGAGGAGACGTCCCCGACGAAGGGAAGGAAACTGGACTTTCTAATCTCCATGTTCGAGATGCGCGCTTTAATTATCAGGATTTTTGGGATCTTCCGGATCTGCGATTTTCTTCGCGATTGATGAAATTCTCGGACGAGGCTTCGGATTCAACTAATGGAGATTTCCCTCTCGTGGATGCTCGAGTGGAAATCGACCGAACCAAGTCCCTGCAACGTGCGTCTCGCGGCAAAAATTCGCCGGAGCGAATCGAATAAAAAGGGAGAAGACGAGAGGAGCTTTCTCTCCTCGCCTCGGAACCAAGTGTTTTCGCGGGATTACTCTAAATTCGGGAGGGGGACTTTCTTCCCCCCCCCCCCTCGATGTCCGAGGAATGTCCGTCATCGGTGCGAGAAGTCGGGCGCGCTTTAATTACCGATTTAATCCGCGGATTGATCGAGGAAAGAAACCCGACCGGGGGTGGGAAGGGGGGGAAGGCAACGCGGATATCTCTCTTTCTCTCTCTTTTTCTCTCTCCCTCTTCCCTCCTCTATGCTCGTTTACTACACTCAAACGAGGTGACGACTTTCGAGAGCGAATCATCTCTACTCGCGCGAGAGAAACGCGGTCGATATAATGATATAATCGCCATCGACGATAATCCTCTGTTCCGATTCGTCTTGTCGGATATCGCAGGATATTTCGTGCTTATGAAGAAGCCATAAACGATATAATTGAAGATCTCCTAATGATATCTCAAGGATATCCGACACTCGTAATTACATCCTCTGGATGAACAGATCTGATAATTCGAGCGCGTCGATTAGAAGATGATTAAAAATATTAATATTTAATAGAATAATGAGAGGAATATTAGAATACGTAATTATAAACATGTATGATATATATTTATTAGTAAAATTACATATTATAATATTTCTTTTATTATTACATTAATTATTCCATGGCACGATAATTATTTATTCATTACAATATTATTAATTATTTCGTAGCAGGTACATATAATGTTTCTTTCATTAACGCATTCATTAATTCGTAGTATGAAACGTTCGATTAATCTCTCAGGTATCTCTCAGATATCTCAGCAAATTAATCTTATAGATTAGATTATTAATATATATAGATTATAATTATATATATATTAATATAGATAGTTTAATGTATACATTAATATATAGATATTTATATAATATTTTTATATAATATTTATATATATTATATTTATATATAAATATTATATAAATGTTATATAATTATATAATATATATAGTTATATAATATTTATATAATATATAATTTTTATACAATTTTTATATAATATAGATAGATATATATTTATATAATATAAATAAATGTTTAATATATATAAATTAATATATAGATTATTAATAGATAGATCAATCGACATGCAAGATATACATCTGTGAAACGTTCTTGGAATCTTGTTGTATGTATTACGCGGGATTCTGGAGCTGCTCGAATACCGTGTTGTTATAAACGAGAAGAGATTTACGCGCATCTCACCTTGCGCGGAATGAGAAAGTGAAACTGCATTTACCGTCGTGCCTCGTAGAAGGAGAGGAAGAGTCGCTCCCACTGCCTGTGTATATATCTACATCTCGTGCATGAAAATCATCATGAAAAATCGCAAGATTCCTCTCGGAACCGAGATTCTCTTTTCTAGCGAGGCCGTTCATTGGGAAGATTTTTCGGAAAGAGATGAGGTGAAGATGAAGAGAAAAGAATAAAAGAAAGAATAAAATTTTATTGTTAAAAAAATTATGGAACATTCCAAGATATAAAATGTTTTATTAAAAATAATATTATATTTTATATTTATTTAATAATACTAATATTTTATTTTCCAAATAATTTCTATTAGCAATTAAATAAATAATAAATTAATAATTTAATAAATAATATAAAATTTCCTTATTCAAATCAGGTCTTAATATTCATATTGATAGCTCGAGAATTTTCAGAAATATTCTCCGATACTCTCAAGAAGGAATATAATAAAATCTTAAAAAAAAAGAGAATAAAAGATTTGAATTTATTATTCTTATACGAATAATACTGGAGTGTATCTCTTTCTAAGCAGAGTCACGATGACGAATGGAAACACGTGCCCGAGTTAATAGTGAAAGCAGAGAGAATCCCAAGAGCGGTCGCGTCCCCGATTTAGGCAAATTTTAGCCCAGTGTCGATATTCTAGGAATCTGTATATCGACACTTAGCACGGATCCGAATCAAAACTGCAGTCTGTTATCCTCCGAGAAGTTGCTCGACTTCGTAGTACCAAGTTGACGTTTCGCAGACGTCAAAAGCGCTTATCTCGAGCACTCGTTTTGATTCGTTTCTGCGAAGTACACCGGGTGCTATCGCCAAAAAATGATAGTGTCAACAAGTATTTGTAGGTTATCGAGATACCACAAGCCAGTGCTTTTGGCTGGCAAAAATTCGTGTAAAAATGGAAATACGACCTACGTCAAGTTTAGTCACGCGAGACGAGCAAGTCACACGAACGTCGGCACCGAAGTCGTCACGTTGTCTGATGGGTGAGGATTTGTCACGCGTTTATCTATCCTAACCTATACGCGGTTTATACCGAGTTTCTTTCAGAATTTCGTCGAGAATCACACGTATTTTGTATATTTCAAGAATTCATATTTATTTAAAAAAAAAAAAAAATATATATATATATATATATATATATATGTTGAGTTTGCGTGAAAATGTGAGTAGGATAAATCCAGCAATGCATTTTTAGCATTTTTGCTTGCGCAGCTTTTTATATTTTATAGGGTGTTTTATGTTTATTTTTTTAAATTATCTTTTTAATGATAAAATATTTAATGAATCTTATAATAATATTTCTTAAAATTCTTAAGCTGTCAATATGGATATTAAGACCTTTTTTGAATAAAATTTTATATTATTTATTAAATTATTAATTTATTATTTATTTAATTGCTATTAGAAATTAATTACAAATTATTTGAAAAATAAAACATTTTATATCTTGGGATGTTCCATAATTTTTTTAATAATAAAATACTTGCTGAGCCTTCTCCTTTTTTTTTAAAAATATCAAAAAACATTTCTTAAAATTCTCGTTAATATAAATATTGCAATTAAATTTAAATGAGAAAATTTTATATTAGAATTGTTGCTAGGAATTAATTACAAATTATCCGGAAAATAATACAATAGAAATAAATCATACATCTTTAATTAATTGATTTCTTTTATATTTCTAGCAAGCCACTCAAGCTATCTACAGGTAAATATGCACGTTTCGCTGATGGTAGCGCAATCGTGTCCTTGGGCGACACTTCAGTCATGGTCACAGCAGTTTGCAAGCACCAATCGTCTAATTCCTCATTCCTTCCACTCATCGTGGACTACAGACAGAAGGCAGCTGCAGCGGGTCGCATACCAACCAATTTTTTAAGGAGAGAACTCGGGCCAACCGAAAACGAAATTCTCACGAGCAGAGTCATCGATCGATCAATAAGACCGTTATTCCCAGAGGGATTTTACTACGACACCCACATAATGTGCAACATGTTAGCTGTCGATGGTATAAACGATCCTGATGTGATTGCCATTAACGGTGCCTCTGCGGCTCTTAGCATCTCTGATATTCCATGGAATGGTCCTGTGGGCGCGATCAGAATCGGGATGATCGACAATGAATTTATAATTAATCCTACGAGACGTCAAATTCAAGATAGTATATTAAACATGATTGTCACAGCGACTAAACACAATTTAATCGTCATGTTAGAGGGTTCAGCCAATGAAATATTAGAGCAGGATCTGAAGAAGGCGATAAAACTCGGCGTTAAAGAATGTCAGAATATTGTGAACGCTATAGCAAATTTGCAAAAGGCACATGGCAAAACGAAAAGAAATATCGAGACTGTCGAACAGGATAATAATCTGATCAATTCTGTGAAGGAACTTTCGGAGACAAAATTGCGAGAAATATTTTCAAATCATGCTCATGATAAGATTTCTAGGGACAATGCGATTAATGATCTTAGAAATAGTGTTATTGAGGCGTTGAAAAGTGATAATACTGATTTGGATGTTAAATCAGCGGAAAACATCTTTGGGAAAATTACCAAAGATCTTTTCAGGACACTGATCTTAGACACAGACGTCAGGTATTATTGTCCGATATAAAATCCTATTGGCTTTGTCGATCTTTAAATCATCCAAATATTCAAAATCAACGATTTTCAGATGCGATGGTCGTTCACCGGATGGTTTACGCGATATATCATGCCAGGTAGACCTTTTCAATCCTCTTCATGGCTCGGCTGTATTTCAACGAGGACAGACTCAGGTCATGTGTACTGTGGCTCTGGACTCTCTGGAAAGTGCGCTCAAGATGGACGCTATGTCGATGTTAATTAGGTACATTAATAGCGAAACAATTAAGCTCCGACATTCTTTTTCTCTTCCACTAGTATTTTCGATGACACATATACCGCGAAAGCGCTTCATTATAAAAAGATTTCAATCTAAAGATAAAAAGAGCTATATAAAGGAAGAAAAGCACTTGCGACAAATGTTTGAAATTTAATTTATTTTTTGGCAGTGGCGTGAAAGAAAAAAATTTCTTCCTTCATTACGAATTTCCGCCCTATGCAACTAATGAAACAGGACACGTAGGTCGGATAGGACGTCGGGAGATGGGACATGGTGCTTTAGCGGAGAAAGCCCTGAGGTCGATTCTTCCAAAGGACTATCCGTTCACCATAAGACTGACTAGCGAGGTTTTGGAATCAAATGGTGAGACGATCATTAGACTAATTCAAGTTCACTTTCGTTAAAAAATGCTTATAATACGGCAATAATAATATCAAAAATTTTAAACTTATATTTTATCTTATAAAAACAGGTTCTTCTTCAATGGCTACGGTTTGTGGCGGAAGCTTAGCACTGCTCGATGCAGGCATACCTATATCTTCGTCAGCAGCAGGTGTGGCCATTGGTCTCGTGACTAAATATAATGAAACTAACACTGATATCGACAAGTATAAGATATTGACTGACATATTAGTAAGTATTGTCGTGTTTAAACCATTAGATTGTAAATTTAAATTATCGTGATTGATGTAAATTTTCTATCTGTCTGTTAGGGAATCGAAGATTATCTTGGGGATATGGATTTCAAAATAGCAGGCACCAAGCGAGGATTCACCGCGTTACAGGCCGATGTAAAGATACCAGGAGTTCCACTAAAAATTATAATGGAGTGCCTATATCAAGCGATAGCTGCTAAACGAGAAATCATTAAAATCATGAACGATGTGATACGAACACCGCAAACAAAGAAAAAGGACAAGATGCCAGTGATTGAGAACTTGGAGGTTCCTATTCATCAAAGAGGAAAGTTTCTTGGAATCGGCGGTATGAATTTAAAGAAGATACTCTTGGAAACCGGAGTGCACGTAAGATGATTTTTATTTATTATATGCTGAAGAGAAGATTAAAACTTTTCTAATATTATTTAATATAAACAAAATTGCTCATCACTTATTTATTTATTTGAAATATACTGACACTTTCAATATTGCTTTCAGATATTTCCACACGATGAGAACACGTACTCTATATTTGCGCCAAACGAAAACGCCATGAACGAAGCTAAGGAAATGATAGAAAATATTCTGCAGAAGGATCGCGAGCCGACTTTGGAATTCGGCGCCATTTATACCGCGAAAATAGTGGAAATACGAGAGATTGGAGTTATGGTGACGCTACATTCCAAAATGGTGCCAACATTATTGCCCAATTCTCAATTAGATCAACGCAAGATCCATCACCCTAGCGCTCTGGGACTGGAAATTGGTCAGGAGATACAAGTCAAGTACTTTGGACGAGACCCAGCGTCCGGACAGATTAGGATATCGCGAAAAGTGCTGCAGGAACCGATTACGTTGTCGAAAACTCTGCATCGGGATAACGCAGAGAGGATGTGAAATCCGTAAATTACTATATTTTCAATTGAAAGATACATATTATCGATTATTTTTATTGCGAGATGATCTGTACATTTTCCCGTCTAAAAATGTGACTACCTTTTTGCAGATTCCTACAGTATATATTTGTTGAATACAACATTTTGTATGATGCCTTTGTTAAGAATAGAGACATAAAAATACCGGGAATATGAAATATAATTGATATTGATTTTCCCATTTACTCTAACTCTTCATATACATCATTATCAGCGACTTATTTATGAGATATAATCAATATTGGTTTTTCATTTATCTTAATTTTTAATATCATTGTCGATGCAATTTACTTATGAGAGAGTTTCTTATGATAGAATTTACAAGTGTGTAGAGATTTTATATAATTATTATGAGAAATTTTCTTTATTAACATAATATGTATTCTATTAATGAAAGAGAAAAAAGTATATCATTTGTCAATTTTTAAAATTGATTTTATTAGAAATGTTTTGTTTCCAAAGAAAAAATTTTATTCTACATCTTTTTATGTAAAATCAATTGCTGTCGCATTTATGTCATTAGTGATTTTGTAAAATACAAGTTGGATTGTTTCACATGTATATATATTGTTAAATGAAAGGAATCGTGTTTGGAAATCGCGTATTTTATTAAAAATAGAGCGGAAATGACCTGTCTCTTCGCTTGCTATCTTTTCCTACAGATAGCAAAAGGGAAATGAGAGACGTATGAGAAGAGATAACAGAATGATAATTAAGCTATCAATAAAACATAAGAATTTCGTAAAAATCGATTTAGAAAGAATCAATAAAAATCCGATTAATAAAGAAAAAGAAAAGAAAGGAGAAGAAACTTTATGATTAGTAAAAGTTGAATAGACAAATTAATAAATATGTAATAATAAAATTTTTTTTATTTATTTAAAGTGGATAAGTGAATTTCATAATCGTTCTAGATTGTAAATATAAATTTTCAAGAATGAAAATTTTTCTTAAGGAAATTTATTGCTATTTTTGAAAAAGATCTATTTAAAAATGTTGAGATCAGGTGATCATAAATACATGCCATCTCTTTGGACAGATATAACAAACAAATGAATAATTTGACAATTTATATTTCATTTCATGTATCTCTCTCTAATCATTTCCGATCCCGATCGTTCTTCCGACGATTCGCAATGTTCGATACAGCGGCACGTTTATTTTATCGCTACGTGTGCAAGCGGAGCTCTACGTTCACGCTTGCTATTGTGATCAGTGCGGTATTCTTCGAAAGAGCGTACGATGAAGCTTGCGAATATATATTCGAAACCGTGAATAATGGAGTATGTCGCTATATATTATGAGAGAGAACAGAAATATTGATTAGATAATTTTAAATGTAAATTAAATTTATTAAATATGAAAACAATAATAATTAAAAACATAAATTTGTTAAATTTATCAAATATTAAAATAATAATTAAAAACATAAATTTATTAAATTTATTAAGTATTAAAACATAATAATTAAAAATATAAATTTATTAAATAAGTATTAAAACAATAATTAAAAACAAATTTATTAAATTTCTTAAATATTAAAAAATATTGCTGTACTAAAAATATAAAAAAATTACATGTTACATATTTTTATAAGATTGTTATGTTAGAATTGATGTGCAATCAATTTGTTTATTTGTTACAGAGACTTTGGAAGCATATAAAGCACCGGTATGAAAATCCAATGATAGAAACTCAATTCACACATGGTGATCAATCACAAGCTCTCACCGACAATAAAGAAAATCGTTAAAACTGTATATATAGATATATATGTGCAGAATCGAGATAATAATATTAATAATCAAAGTTTATGGAAGTTATTCTATCTCTTTTGAGTTTTAATAATTATAATTTAATAATTTAGGATTACGTTACATGTGTTTAATAAGTCGGATATGTATCATGGATTCTCTCTTCTCCGATCATCGATTGGTTCAGAATTCAGCAACAATCTCCTAATTACTTTCCTCAATCTTACAAGAATATCGTAGACCGCGTTTTCAGCAAATTTTTTAATTAGTTATTTCACTTGATTACTTCAATTTTAAGTCATAAAAAACGTTGAAGTATCTTTTCTTTTGTGAACAAAATATGCATTGATTATTTTAAAAATGTTATTTCTTATATTATTTTAATATGAATTTACTTTAAAAGTATCTATTGCTTATTTATTAATACAAGTGTACAAAAACAATTAATACAATTTAATGAAAGCGGATAGAAAATGGGTTTAAAAGATGTAAACTGAAAAGAGAATTAATACAAATTCGTGAAAATAGCATTCAAGTATTTTGTTGTTTACAATAAAAATACAATAAAAAAATGTTTTTAATTGTTCACTTGCTTAATTTTGAACAAAAAACAATATTTGAAATATTTATTTATGTTTTAATATGTAAGTCATAAAATAGTTTAAATAGAATTTTAATTAATATATTTATTTAGTCATGTTTATAGTTCGCGTGTTATTTATATAAATACATCGCTTTTAATAAATATTGATGTCATCATCCGGGTGATTCTAGAAATATGAGATAGGCAAGCTGATTTTTAGTATTATCTGACGATATAAATACAAGCCGCAATTCCAAACTGCAGTCTTCACTGAGAAGCGAAAGATAATTCAATTAGATTTTGAAATAATAGTATTTCCAAAACAAATCTGTTCGAAAATTACAAGTTGAATTGAGCAAATTGAAAGATTTTGACAAGTTTAAAAAATGGTAGGTTACATTTCCATTACTTTTTTAATAATATTTAGTATTAATTATATAACATTAGTGTAATGTTATCATTATTATTATAATTTTTATAAACTTATTGCAAAATTAATTTCAAAATTATTAGCTCTTTAGTAAATATGCATGTATATTACTCTTTTTTTCTGTCATTAATTTTCCTTTATTTCTTTTATTTAGGAATATACGAGTTATAGTACATATAATAGTAGTCGAAAATAATTGATATATAAAAATAATATATTTCTTAAGTTCCTATTGTCTCAGATTAAATAGATAAATTAATTAGATCAATTTATTTATATTATAAGAGATTTGAAATATTGCAGACATGATTTTAATATTTTCCATTTTTTATGATAAAAAATATTTATAAATGATTTTAATATTTTTAATTTTTTATGAAAAAAAATTACTTATAAATAGAATATTTATTTTCTCGAGAAAGTAGAGAACTTTTGGATGTGAAAATTCTCTTCAAAAAAACAAATTTATTAGGAATTTTTCGATTATTATATTATTTATCTGTCTAATGGCTCACATATGGCTTTTGCTGCAATTTTATAATATTTTATAATATGCAATTTTATATATAATTAGAACAATTTTTAAATATGTCTGTATAATTTAAGTGAATTTTTAACAGAATGAAGTTTTAGCAAATTCGTTAAAATTTTCTTAGTGCATGTGAAAAATTTGATCTGGCTAATGATGCGTTTTTTTTTCAAAATTTGCCAATACGCGAATTTCTATAAGAATCAAGATGCAATATCACAAAAATTAGATATTATATTAGTAGATATTATATTATTAGATTGAGTATTATATTTAGATTTTTCGAGTAAATGTTCAGAAGACACAATAAAACAATCTATGACATATTTACCTTCTTGTTTATGGATATATATTCTTAATTTATTTAATATTGATGTTTTTGTATTTAAACTTTTTATTTACTTCTTTCTCTATCATGCGTAATTACTTCATATATCACATTACATCTTTTTTATTTTTCTTGCAGATAAAGTATCTACTTTTTTCATTTCTTCTGCAATCTTCTATGCAAGTATTTTTGGCAATACCAAATATTGAGTTCATATCAACAAATTTTTATGATCACGACAAAAATTACAATTTAAAGATTATAAGAAATGAAATTAAAAAATGTGGAAATGTGGAAAGCTTAAATTTAGATAGTATGAATTTATACACTATAAAGAGTAATATAATTCAGAGTCAACACGTACAACATATATCATTGTACAATAATAATTTGGAAGACATTTATACTATTTTGGATCATGTACCTTATTTAAGTTGCTTAAATCTATCTCGAAATGAGATTAATGTCTATAATGACAATATAATTCGACATTCTCATCTTGAAATATTGGATTTAAGTTATCAGAAAATATCAGAAGCGAGAGATTTGAAGACGGAAACAAATGACGTATATAAATATATGAAATTTAATAGCATCGGAATAAGTTTACCAAATTTGCAATATTTAGATTTAAGTGGAAATGATATTTCCACTTTATTGTGGGATTTTAATTTGTCTTTTCCAAAATTAATACAATTAGATTTAACTAACATCAATGCAAGGATACTAGAATTGGAATTTTTCGACAAAATACCAAAATCTTTGCGCGTTCTCCATTTGGAGAACAATAATCTGCATAATTTGACATTGCAAAATATGGCAGAAGTGACCGCCTTGTATTTGGATAGTAATCCAAATTTACAAACCATCAATATCGTTTCAAAACGATTGAAAATTTTATCGTTATCAAACTGTGAGAATATTGGTTATGGAACTTTCGATACTCCATATCTTGAACAATTAGATTTATCCATGAATAATCTTAAATCTGTATCTAATATAAGTTTTGAAATATTCCCATCGTTACGAATGTTGCTACTGGATTATAACAAACTATCGCAAATTCCTTCACTAAATGCCTTACAGCAACTTAATGACTTATCAATGAATTTTAATATGATTAAAAATATTCCGTCTGCTAGTTTTGCATCCTTTCCATCATTAAAAAAATTGTCATTGAAAGGCAATAAAATAGACCGTATTGAGAGAGATAGTTTCTTTGGTTTGAGTAATTTAGAGTATTTAAATCTATCTGATAATAAGTTAAAAGGCTTGCCTTACGATTGGGCAACGTCATTAATAAATTTGCAATATTTAAATGCAAATTCTAATCAATTTGCAAACATTTTAGACTTGGCCATTAACTCGAATATCGTCTCGTTAAAACATTTATCTGTGAAAAATAATTTAATCACAAAAATAAGTACACTAGAATTGGCACATTTGCCAAATGCAACTACTGTATACGTAGCTTAAGACACAACTTAAGCATATTTTCAGTATCCATTGATATTCCATATATATATGTAAATATATAAGTATTTCTAATTTTTTTATATTTCTGCGCAAATTTATGACTTTTTATATCAATGCGCACGAAAGTGTTAAAAATAATTACAGATTGTAGATACTATAATTATTCTTAAGTGCGAGTATCCTTGTAAGTACATCGCAAATTTGTCTTAATACTTATTATGTTATTTTTAGAACTAGAAATAAAAATTGTATTTTTATACGTATGATTGATTTATTTTTGTTTTAAATAATTTATATGTCAACGCAATCTTAGAATAAATAATATTTTTAAATAATATTTTATTTTTGGAGTATATTTAATTTTAAATTTAATTGTAAAGAATATTGCATTATGCAATCAATATATATTTATTATATACAACAAAAATATTGAAAGAATGTCTGCATGGGCAGTCAGTTAACCGCCATACCGCATCATAATCTACCTAACTGCTGAGTATGCTGCTGAATATTGCGTTAAAAAATACATTGCGTGCAATAATTTTATCTATCACATATAAATCGTATTTCACTTTACAGAATAAGTTTACAAAAATTTATCAATCATATTTTTTCCTGGTAAATATTTTCAAAGAATTTATTTCTTTTACATTTTATATAATTAAATTCAAGAGAATGTAATTAAAAAAAATATTAAAAGTTTATTTAAGTAAGACATTTTCGAGATTACTTTTAAAATTCCTATATGAATTCCATGTACAATGCATATATAACGCATATATAAATTAGTTATTGTTATACAAATTTATATAAAGTGTGTGTGCGATCTTTAAAATATTTCAAGCCTCGTCTCACACATCTCGTTACATCCCGCGAGATTCGCGATGCTGAAAGCTACTTATCGAATCTTCTCGGAACACTTCTCGCCAAGCGAGATGCTTCGGATTATTTATATCATTAGTCGTCGACGGCATATACTGCGATAACAGCGTAAGACTAGCCGTAAGAATGTATTAGGTTCGGTGAAGCCCCGTGGCATGAGATAGACTTTGATCGTACGTGTTCAGGAAAGTAGGATTTGATACCCTTGACTCTGTGTAAAAGTATAAAATATATATTATATGCAAATTTCATAATTTCTTGCATTTTTACATGTATTATATATTTTCTTATATATTTTTATATTATTATATATTTAATTAATTTATACATACAATATATTTTTTTTCTATACAGTATGATTTTTCTGTACAATGAATATTATAAATGTAATTTTCTTTATTATAAATATGAAAATCCTGAAAGAGAGGAAAGAGAAAGTAACAGAGAGAAAAAGAAAAAGAAAAGAGAGAGAGAGAGAGAGAGAGAAAGATTTTATTATAAAATAAATATGTAAAATAAAGATACAAAATATGTTATATTTTTTTCAAGAATACTATTGTATAGGAGTGCAATGTAAAATTATTATATATTATTATATATTATTATATATTTATTATTATTATATTATTATATATTTATATTATTATTATATTATCATTATTATTGTTATTACATATATACATATTGTTTATACAATCTCTCTTAAGTAATTAATGTATCAAATAAATCTTGTAATTAGAAAATAAATAAATAAAATAAACAGATATAATGATATAAAGTTAGTAATATAAAATAATAAGAAAAAAAATATATATATATATATATTATTTTAATGTAGAAAGAAAATATTTAAACCTAAAATTTAAGATTTAATGTAACATATAATAATATATCACATTTTTAAATTAATAATTGATTGTATATAATCAAATATAATAACATTGAATAAATTAAATGTAACTACTTTTAAAACAAATATAATAACACTGAATAAATTAAATGTAACTACTTTTTAAGTTAATTAAATCAATTATATTTAATCTCACACATACATACAATGTGATACAAATGCATACCTCAACTGGTGTGAGATACGTTACATAGACGGAACTGTTATATGTGAAGACGAGACCCCGTAAAGATCGCCGCTGGTATATAAGAAGACAAATTCGCTCCCTCGCGACAAAAGGTATCGGACTGCTCAAGTGAATCGGACTGATCAAGTGATCAAACAAAGTGTTCAACTTTACGAAAAAATTAGTGCATCGTAAGTGTTATAAATATTTATTTGCTTGAATTTATTCTATTATTTCAAGGATATTATATTATATACTGCAATATATATCTTTTTAAACTTTGTCAGAATTTAAAATAAATTCTTATGATGAATTTCTTATGATTATTTTTTCATATAACATTAAATTTTTACAATTTTTAATTATTAATAGAATTTAATAGAATTTAGTATCTTTATATATCTCTATGAAAAAAAATATCTTATAATATTTATACCTTCCTACTTTTGCAGCTACAATATAATAATTAATAAATATTTAATATAATATTTGAATCTCTCAAAAATTATATGTAACAATATTAAATATCAATTTATTTATTTTATTTGTAATTATGTTAAAATAAAAATACATATTACTTTTGTGTTTCACATTTTATATTATTAGAAAATTTATATTTACATTTAATATGATTTTATATAAATTTAATAGTGATGAAAGTATTTTTTATTTCTTTATTTTAATTTAGTTTATTGTTATAATTTCTTTATATTTTCCTTTATATTTAATTTTAATGTAAATATTATATTATAATTGGTATACCGTTCTTTATTTTTTTCAGATGGCATTAAGCCACAAAATTATTCTTTTCTCTATCCTTATCACCGCGCACTTGGCAAAAGCGAACCGATATGATTTCAAGCCAACTGAAGAATCTGAAAACATACAACAATCAAATCATGAATTTGTTATCCATTCGTCAAATACCGGATATCGTCCATATACTCCATCTCATCAACCATATACTCCACATCAACCATATACTCCGATCCCATCACAATTATACTATCCATCCGACATCTCATTTAGATTTTCGAATGTCGGTCTTCAAAGAATCGGTCGGAATTTCATTAAAAGCAACAGAATCATCAGTCTCAGTTTGGACAATAATAACATAAGCGACGTTTCGCCGTTTGCCTTCCGCGGCATGCCGAATCTACGGCATTTGAACTTATCCGGAAACAGAATCCCGAGGAAGAAATTGCTGTCGTTGAACGGAAACGATAATTTGCAGACGCTAATCATCAACGACAACAACGATATTTCCAACGATAATTCCAACGAAGAGGAAATCCTGAAGGAATCCGAGTCTTTCCAGAGTTTGGAGCACCTGCAATTATGCAACAATCAACTGCGAGATATTGCGATCACTTTTTTTATATCAATGCCCATCCTAACTCACTTACACTTGAGCAATAACAGCATCAGTTCTAGCAATACTGTCTTCGACAATATTCCGACGACTTTGACTCATCTTAATCTGAAGAAAAATCTGATTGATCACATCGACCAGGACAAACTCAGGTATTAATATTTATTAAATTCTTTCTTATTCAATTTATTTATTTTTTTTTTCATAAAAGAGCATCTGTGTAAAAGATTTTAATTTTATTATTATTATTATTATTATATTATTTTATTACGATTACTATTATTGCACGATTGTTATTGTTTTTATTGTTATTATTATTATTATATTATCGCTTTTATTATTATTATTATTATTATTATTATTATTATATTATCGCTTTTATTATTATTATTATTATATTATTTTATTATTACAATTATTATTATACAATTGTTATTGCTTTTATTATTATTATTATTATTATATTATATTATCGATTATATTATTATATTATATATTATATTTATTCCTTTTATTGTTGCTTTATTTCTTTTTCGTAATCTCGACAAACATTGCAGGTATCTGCATGAGCTCGTTATGGATGACAATGAGATCACCCAAGTGTGCTTCGAGGAGTGTCAGGAAAAGTCCATACCCCTGAGAGGCGCTATCGGGATGAAAAATCTATCTTTATCGAGCAATCGTATCTTTGAAGTGTCGGCCGATGCCTTCAACGATATGGAGCATTTGCTAAACTTGGATCTATCGGGCAATGAAATCGCAAATTTGGCCAGCACTATTTTTAACAATACCCACCGGATAATTAATCTCTCGCTGGCTAATAATATTCTCGCCACGATACCGAATGTCTGCCCGATACTGAACCTGGAGAGCATGAATCTAACCGGGAATCGTATCAGCTTGATTCCTTCCGACGCGTTTTGCCGCTTACAAAGACTGAAATACCTGTATTTGTCGAACAACATGATAACAACTATCGAAACTCGGGCTTTCAATCTCCCAAGTTTAACGTACTTGGACCTTTCCGGAAATCAACTCCGCCAGCTTCCGGCGCAATGGACATTACCGTGGCAGATCCAGGAGTTGCATCTCGAGCGAAATTACTTTACCGAACTGGACGACTTATCGTTGATAAACATCAAGTCTCTGAGGGACGTTTACCTCGACGGAAATCCCATGTTAAAGTTGAAAGTGAGATCCTTCCACGCGCTCTCGGCACACGATATGATGTTGCATTTGAAGAATATATCCGTCGTCGAGGACAAATGCACACAGTGCGAAAAGGATGATGAAGAAAATGATAGTGAATATGATTAATCATAAGAAAGATTCATCAATAATTTTGCTTTCGATAATTCAAAACAGAATATTATTTTTGATAATCATTATTTTTGCATTTTAAATTGTTTAGATTTCGTTCTTAAACAGATTAGATACGAAATACGTTAAGTAAAAAATAGAAAAATAGAAAAAATGATGCATTTTTTCGATTGATGTATTAATGGAAGCACATTTTCTTGCATAACATCAATTTTTCAATTTTCTATTGTTAAATTTAATATTCTTCTTGAAAACATACTTTATATAAAATTAAAAAATTAGAATTTTTTAGTTAAATTCAAATAAATTAAAAAATATTGATAAAGAATCAAGAAAACTTTTGCTAATTAAAAATATACATATCGATATGTTATATATAATGTTTATTTTTGATCATATATTATTATTTTTATTAAAATAATCTAAAAATATTTAACGTAAAATATGTTAAGTAAGTAATTATAATTAAACTATTTTAATTTCATTAAGCTATAATTAAAAAATTATCTTTCATTGTGTATAGTTTTCATTTGGCAGCATATATAGAGTTTATATATAGTTTTCGCAAATAATTTTAAAATATAAATAAGTGGTTAAGTTTTTTTAATACCATGATAATTTTTTAATTTTACAAATAAGAATTCGATACTTAATATAATTATCATTATTGCTTTTCGTAGTGTTCAAGTGCTTAAAAAACTATAAAGAATAATGTGTTTCAATTTATTATAAATAAGTACAAGTATGCTGGGTTGATGCTTTATTATACGCATAATCATTTATTAATATTTTACGATTTATTAATATTTTTTAGATAAATGCTTTTTATAAATTTTATATCATCATAATAAATCTTTTTATATCATCGTAAAATAGTATCTTTGTCTATACAAATGTTTCTTATATGTACAACATATATAGAGTATTAATGTATATTTTGCTATATTTTTTTATTTTATTTCATAATCGCGTTCGTTGGAGATTCAACAGAAATTTATGTAAAATTTTTCACATTTGATTCTCTCGTGAGATTATCGTTGTTAAAGTCATCTTAAAATCGTCGTCATAAAACCGACGATTTATGCAAATGACTTAATAGCGCGTTTCCATTGGCTTTTAAAAAAAATTACTAAATTCAATGTTCAAAGTGCTTGAAATTTTCTGGTTTTAATTATCGAGCTAACAATAGCAAACCGCGGAAATAAGCGGAGCACAAGAGCAATATGCAAGAAACGAGAGAGTGCGGCGTTTAAATCTCACATTATATTCTTGAGCTGTATTTCCACGTGACAACGGTAGAATTTTTCGTATTTCTACCTTCTCTGTTCCCTTTTTTTTCCGCAGAAAAAAGTGCTCCGCAGGATTAAACGCATGTCGCGTCCCGCAAGAGTAGCCGAACCGCAGAGATCTCGTTACCTATGTATCATGTTTATATCGTACGATATTTTACGAATAAATTACAAATACTAGAAATTAGAATTTTAAAAGGACAAGATATATCGAAAGCGCTTTGTGAAAAATTTGTTTAATTTATTTATGATATAATATTAATTTAATATTATTTTAATTTGCTTAATTATTTCATGAAATAATATTATTTTAATTTTTATAATATCTGATTTAATATTATTTAATATGATTTAATATTATTTTAATTTGTTTAATTTATTTATGACATAATATTATTTAAATTAAGTTAATCGGGAAATAATTTATGCAATTTGCCACTCAGTCTTTTATCCTGTAAAATCAATAAATTTAATAAGTTGTTAAATAAATTCCTTACAAATTAAAAATCTTCCCACGGAATCAATAATGATGTAATGGCGTACTATACAAACCAAAGGAATTTTTTTATTACAGCCAATATATCGAATCAGGCATGTGCGACAAGGGCAGAAAAGTGAAGGCAATAATCGTCAATGATGATGAAAAAAATGACAGATTACGAAACATATGATTGATAGCTTTTCCCAGTGTTACTTGAGTAAATCACTTTATAAATCGCTTATCAAAGTAGCCATAAGAGTAATCAATGATTACCCAAATGCTCGTGTAAACACGCTGTACGCTTGATGTGGAACTGATAGTAGAACTGATCGAGCCGGCCGAAGGCCGGCAAGGTGTCGAAGCGGTCGAGCCTCTGTCCCTTTCAGGGTGTCGGTTACGCATAGGGTGGTCGCGCATGCGCAACGAGGGGGTGCGCGACGCGACGAGGACGGGAAGAGGGTGGACGTTCTAGTGCGACGAGGATCGAGTCTGAAGCAAGGGCGTACATAGAAATTTCGTAAATGTGGATATCCCTCAGAGAGAGCGCGCTAAAATTTTCACATTTCGACTTCTCAATCTTATGTAATGATAATATTCTTACGTAATGTTTTTATCATGTAAAATTTAATCCATCTATATTTTTTCAAGGTAAAAAATGTTTTCTTTTAAAATATTACGATAACAATTTGTAGCAAGTCATTTGTGGCAAAAATGAAATTCTCCAGAAGGTAAGTTGAATCATCCCTATACACGCTTCACTTCCACAGGCGCGAATGGGGATGAAAGAGAGGAAGAGAGAGGGGGAGCGTAAGTTGTAACAGGGATGGAAAACAGGGGGGAGGATGGGCAAAGGCGTGGATAGTTTTGGAGAGGGGCGGAAAGGACCTAAGAGCGACGAAGATAGCAATCTGGGAAGTGTTGGAAGTAAATTCGTGTAGAACAGTGGTAATCAACTGGATTATATCTGTAAGAAGCAATATCAAATTACGGTGTATCGGAAGCGAGACATTTAAATATTCTCCCTCCATCTCTGCATTCATAAAAATGCAAATTTAAGAAGCCATTTTTTTCCAAAAAAAAAAGGTTGCTGCAGAATCTCACGAATTTAATGCTATTTTAACATGATTAAAAAAAGTACGTTTATAAATTCAGTGACAAATTGAAAGTTGCACATCAAAAGAATATTTTCTACCTTTTTTTCTCTCTATTAATTTAAACATAATTTTCTTATTTAATTATAAATTTTTTATAGCGATTTATAAAATCATTAATTTTAAGCTTACCCTCTTCCACTTTCTTAGACACAAGTTGGTAGTATTTTACAAGAGAAAAATGCCTGCATTTGTTGTACAAAGACCAAATTATATTTAATTTCATAGGAATCGGAGAGTCATATTATGGCCACCACTGTTATAGAACGAAAGAGAAAGAAGGCAAGAGGGTAGGATAGAGGAAGAGAGCGCACATTGCAGAGCGAGAAAAAAGAGAGGAGAGGAGGTAGGTGGTGCGCGAGCGTTCGACGAGGACGAGGATATAAATACGGGGTGTGGAAAAAGCGGACGGAGAGAGAAAGTGGGGGGTTGCTTCTAGAGAGGGTAGATATTCTACACGTTCTGTGCGCAAACGTATACAAGATGCCGCTGCGCCGCGTGAAGCGTGACGAGGAATGAAAACTGTGGAGAGAGAAGGAGGCCAAGAGACGGGGGGGGGGAAGAAGAAGCAAAAAAGAGAGAGAGAGACAGAGACAGATAGATAGATAGACGCGTGAAGCGTACGAAAGACGGTAGCGTTTCTTCGGTGAGGTATCGCGAACGAGCTCGACGAGGGAAAGGGAGCATCGTGGGCGCAGTGAAGTCAACAAGGACGGAAATAGCTTGGCAAGAACGGCGGTACCTTTGGCGCGAGTAGAGCAGACGAGAACGATGGCACTATTGGCGCGATTGGTGATATAAATAAGGATGAAGAGACCGCCGAAGGCTGTGGGGTAGACGAGAATGGAGATACCATCGGCATGATGAAGAAGACAAAGACGAGGGTATCATCGGCGCGTCGCGGCCGAGGACGAGAACGAAGTCGAAGCGAGACGGAAGAGATGGCTGAAGGGTGAAGAGAGGAGGGAAAGCGGAGAGGGGCGAGGAAAACGGGGTGGCCGCGTCTGGCTAGCTCGAGACACCACTCCCCACTCGGTCTGGCCGCTCTCTCCTCTAGCTTCCTCTCTTTCTCTCTCTCTCTCCTCTTTCAGTGTTCGTTCGAACGCGGCCCGGTACGGTTCTGCTGCCCCCGTGGTGTCGTAGGGTCACCGCTTCGTGATGGGAGCTCACTGCCGCGGTGATATTGGCGGGTTCCCTCGGTAGCCGGTTCCTGGACGCCGAATGTACCTTCCTCGGGGTGGCCCGCACGCCAGTTCCAATTCGTCTTTTCGGGATAGGGGATAGATGTGCATGAGCGGACGAACGTTAACGGGGCGGAAGTGCGTGAAAATTGTGCGAGGAAAGACAGGACAGAGACAAACAGAAAAATCTTCCCCCAAGATTGTCCGATGAGCCAACGCAATGTCCTCGGGGACCTCGATTAGGAGGCCGAGTTAAATCAGGAGGCTGGAATAATCAGATCGCGCTGGTCCAGAATCATCAGCTTGATGGTACAATTGTTGTTATTCGGGGACGCTCCAAAACATAGCATCCCTTTGCAGAAACGACCACGTCTGCGTCGTATGTCGAGTTCGTTTGAGTTTTCGAGATCGAGTCTTTGTTCGCTAATCAGTGCTAGTGGGAGAAAGCAGAAATTATAAAGAAGAAAAGTAAAAAAAAACAGCAATTTTTTTCAACTCTGCCAATCTAGAGAACCCGCCTTGTTTCTTGTTTCTCGAGAGGAAAATAAACTCGCAGAATTTTCGTCTCTCAAGAGCAAGTCGCGAATCGAAATAGCACCGGGATAAGGAGATTGTTCGTCGCTCTGAATGAAGAACGAAATTATTGGCGAATTTTCCTCGAGAGACAGTCATCAAGTTATCGGGAGAGCCGAGTTTTAATCGCAATTTTCGAAATACGATTCGCACGATATGTCCGGGAACTACTCGGTGCAATGCGAGCCGGGCTTGTTGATGCCGCTCTGGAATCCGCAGGAAAACCTGTACCTGACCGACATCATCTTCCGGGGCCTGGTGTATTTCTTGCTGCTGTTATATCTGTTTATCGGCGTGTCGATCATCAGCGATCGTTTCATGGCGGCTATCGAGGTGATCACGTCTAAGGAGAAGGAGCTAGTGGTGCGTCGTCACGGTAGGGAGCCGCAGATCATCATCGTGCGAGTGTGGAACGAGACGGTGGCCAATCTGACTCTGATGGCGCTGGGCAGCAGCGCGCCCGAGATCCTGCTGTCCATCATCGAGATCTGGGCGAAGAATTTCCAAGCCGGCGAACTGGGCCCGGGTACGATCGTCGGTTCCGCCGCCTACAACCTCTTCGTCATCATTTCCCTGTGCGTGTTCGTGATCCCGAACGGCGAGAGCCGGAAGATAAAGCATCTGCGCGTCTTTTTCGTCACCGCCACCTGGAGCATCTTCGCCTACGTGTGGCTCTACATCATCCTGGCGGTCACCAGTCCGGGGGTGCTCGAGATCTGGGAGGGAATACTGACTTTCGCCTTCTTCCCGGCCACGGTATTGACGGCTTACGTCGCCGATCGTCGATTACTGATCTACAAGTATCTGCACAAGGGCTACCGGATGAATAAGCGCGGCGTAATCGTGCAGGCGGAGGCCGGGGATTCCGAGATAGGGGTGGAGCTGGAGATCAAGCCGCAGCAAGATGGTCTCCACGGGATGGTGGACCGCCTGGCCGATATCGACTCCCCCGAGGCGAAGGAATTCGAGCAAACCCGAAGGGATTACATCAACACCTTGAAGGAATTGCGCAAGAAGTATCCTACTCTACCCCTGGAGCAACTGGAGGTCATGGCTCACGAGGAGGTGCTGGGCAAGGGCCCGAAGAGCAGGGCCTTCTACAGAGTGCAGGCTACGAGGAAGATGGTGGGCGCGGGCAACCTCAGCAGGAAGATCAGCGAAAGGGCGCAGAGCGACCTCAGCGAGGTCAAGGCCGAGTTGCAGAAAGCGGAGGCCGAGAGTATCGACATCGAGAACGTCAACGCCATGAGGGTGTTCTTCGAGCCGGGCCATTACACTGTGATGGAGAACGTTGGGACCTTCGAGGTGGGAGTCACCAGGGCCGGTGGTGATCTTAATAAAGCATGCAGCGTGGATTATTGCACGGAGGACGGCTCGGCCGAGGCGGGATCCGATTATGTCAGCGCCAAGGGCACCCTGACCTTCGAGCCCGGCGAGACTAAAAAGACCATCAAGCTCTCGGTTATCGACGACGAGCTGTTCGAGGAGGACGAGCACTTTTATGTCAGGTCGGTGGAATCCATCATCGTTTCTCTTCCAAAGACTTTTGCGATGACAGGGCGGTTCGATATAAATATCATTTTTCGAAGCACCATATTTCGCTAACGCGCGATTTTACCTCTATTAATGTTTCGTTTCAAGGTTTCATATCCTTTTCGTGGACACTTTAACGTTGAATACTTTTATTAATTTTATTTAAATATATTTCTTAATTATATTTTAAATATCTTTCCGAAAATTCTGCTAAAATTCATTTCATTCAGGATTAAATGGAACAAGTTGTTATGCATTTCATCCCTTAAAATTTAGTTGGAGAATTTCATTTCTGGAAACGCTCGTAATTATATAATTATTGATGTTAACCGGGATGATTAATATTGCCCGGACGATTATTTGTAGAGCATTTGCATAATTAAATCTTCAAATCAATATCATATCGCACATTGAAATACGCTATTGAAAGATACGGATCGCTTCGCAAGTTCCTCGCGAAAGAGGCGTGGTTCTTAAAAGCGCAACTATAGCGCACTGTGATCGCGAATCATTGATTAGCGGTGAAGAGGCAATCATTCAATTAATTTTCAACGAATGGCATCCGCAATTTTATCTGGATAAGTTGCTAACTCGATTTAATCAAGGATGTTAGAAGCGGTTAAGTCTGGCCATTATTCTTCACGTAATTTAACCTGCTGCTAACGTTTCATCCAACATGCATGTTCGAAAAGGAACTTCAAAAAAATTTCAACAAGAATCCAGAGATTAGAGAACTTTTAATTGTATGATTAAAATATACTTTTTTTTTATTTAAAATTTATTCTCTTTAACTATATAATTTATACATAGACACATATATATGTGTATATATTTTTTAAAAATTTATTAATTTTTTAATAATTTAATAATTAATGCTAATTATGAAATCAATATATTTAATATTGTTTTATTTTTTTGTGTTGGTATTTATTTTGGTATTATTTATTTTATACGAAATTTTTGGAGGGACATATTTCGCACATATTTATCGTTTTTATAAGAATAATATAATATTATAATAATAATAATAATAATAATAATAATAATAATAATAATAATAATAATAATAATAATAATAATAATAATAATAATAATAATAATAATAATATAATATAATAATAACAATAATAATTAATATAATAATAATAATAATAATAATAGTAATAATAAAAAATATAACAATAATAATAATAAATATAATAATATTAATAATAATAATAATAATAAATAATAATATGTCAGAATTCTTTTTACCGCTCCCCGAATAAGTTGCTCGCTAAAAACTGAATGATGATGATGTCACAAGAGAACAATTACGACCAGTAAGTCCACTTATGAGAGAAAATTCACGAGCCGTCTGTTATTACGTCACAAAAACACATTTCCCTGACGGATAATTAAAGGCAATTGCTGCTACCGATACGCCGACTTTAATCGTTCATTATATTTCACTCCTTCTTCTCCGCTTTCGGTCTCCTGTCGCGTCTTTCTCTCTCTGGGAGGTGTATATACGTTTCGCTTTTAAATACAAAAAGTGCAATTAGAGCGAGCGGACTCTTTTATATTTCGCACCACGATCGTAAATTGTGGGCTCGTGTTGTTGGTCTAGTCGGGTGACCTGATATTTTCTATTATTTCCGACGTAACCTCGCATGTCAGATTGCATCGTGAGGTCGCGCGAAAACCGCACATGCACGTGCAATTAAATCTACAATTAAGGTGCACACATCGACAAATACACATGTAATTCGACTAATTGTAAGAGGGAGCAACGAAAATAACAGACGGATGATGTTGATACGAACTTTATTACATTTCTGCGTCAATTAGTCTAACAAAATACCTTGATTATGAGAGCTAATCTTATTAGATTTAGATTTTAATTTTTAGATTTTAATTTTTATTTGTCGTATTATCGTCTTAGATGTAGGTCGAGGAGCGAAACTATTGTTAGTTACTTAATAATCCTTGTATACGTCATGTACATGCACACATGATTCTGCATCTATAAATTGTTACTATAATTAATTTATGATTTTTTTATCTGCACATCTTTTTTATCTGCACGTCTTTTTTATTGGCACGTGCGCCAATTATTTTAACGTCAAAACATATCATTCAACTCTGTTGTATAAAAAATTTCCGGAAATGTTTTATTTCCCATTTAATGGAGGGAAATATCCAAAAATAAAAAATGCGTAAAGATAATAGAGAGATAATAGAGAGAAACAAAAGAAAATATATGTGCGAAAATATATGGAAATAATTATTTAATGATGAAATTATATTTATTTAACAAATAGTAATTTAAAATTAATATAATTTTTAATATATATTCACACATACAATATTATTAAATAATTTATATACATAAATTTCTAAAATAAAATAAATTATCATGATAAAATATTTTATCAGCGAGAAATTGAATTGAGTGTCAAGACTTTTGTTGAAATTTTCAAATACAAGATGAAAAAAATTAAATAAAAGTAAAAATAAACAACGTAAGAAATCTGCTTGTTGAAAGATAAGGAGGTCAACTGATAAAAATAACGTCCAAGAAATCTCTTGTAAATGACGAATATTCAGCGTCGAAATTATAGACTGGCTTACCCACGAACTTGATTAAAGTATTCTGCGCAGAATGACATTTTTAGATGGGAAATAAAAGAGATCTGATGACATTCAAATTACAGAGCGTGTCATTAGAAGCTTGTCAATTCGAAGCATGAGAGGGTCTTCATGAATGTCACTTGTATATTACTTGTTGCAAAAAATATATAAAAATATATCAGAGTTAATTATTATAATGTTTCAAGTTTTCCTAGTGATCTATAAATAAATTTCTTTGTACTTGCATAATTGCACTTCTTTAAAAAAGAAAGAAAATACAAATACGACAATTTAAAGCACCCCAATTCTGCATATTCGGAAATTTTCATCGTTATCCGCTCTGTTAAGAATTTATATAAAAACTTGTATTAATTATTAACAAAGTATAATTTTAATATCGTTACCTTGCGACTTTCTAGACTCAGCAACGTAAGTCAGCCAGCCATGCTAGTCTCGCCGAGCCTGGCGACGGTGATGATTCTGGACGACGATCACAGCGGCATCTTCGGCTTCCCCGAGAGGGACGTGGAGCTGGTGGAGAGCGTGGGCCAACATCCTCTGCGGGTGGTACGTTACAGCGGAGCCCGGGGTCGCGTCATCATCCCCTATCGCACCGTGGAAGGCACCGCGAAGCCTGGCAAACAATACGTGCACACCGAGGGCAGCCTGACCTTCGAGGATAATCAGACGGAGTGAGTGACATAACGATAATCCCTGATGAATTATGAGATTAGTCGAGTGAAATCGATAGTTAAGAAGAGAGAGAGAGAGAGAGGGAGAGATAGTTAATTACTCGAAATATCGTGTGTCTATCCTTTTCTTTCCCTCGTACGTTTTATCCTCCATTTCGGCCTTGGAGTCATCGACCTATGCAATGGCGAGCTTTAACGGCGAGCTCCTTTCTTTAATGGTCAATGTCGCTCAGAAAAAATAAACTTCGACGTGTTTAAAGGGAAGCAAGAGACGTTTGAAAAGCATCGCAGACGCGATAGAATTCTATTTTTCAAGGAAAAGGGAAAAAGGATTTTAATGCATTTATACAAGCGATCTCTTTTTCCTTCTCTTCTCAAACATTATTATGATTGATCAATACAATATCTTGTCGAGGGAGAAAAAAACAAAAATATATAAATTTTATAAATTAATATAAATTATATAAATTAATATAAATTAATATAATTTAAATAAATTAAAAAATTTATATAAATTTATATAAAAAACATATAAATTATAGTAAAATATATTTTCTCTTACATAACATGTGTAATATGAATCGTACACCTAATATTTATGCCCATTCTCGAGTTGATGTCTCAATATTGACGAATCGATACAAAACCGAATCGATAGTTAAATTAAAACGAAAGAAAATATCCCGCGCGACTTTTGTTTAAGAAAATCATTTATAAGAGAATAATATTATTTCACAGTTAATCGTGTTACGAATAAAAATGAAGAGAAGGCGGTTGATGTGATTTTCATAATTTACAGCTTCTCGATACACACAGAAGCTACCCAGTAGCTCGTAAGATCGCGTCAAATGAGCGTGGTAAGGTCGTAAAGAGAGGTCGATAAGAAATTCATTGCTAGAAGGGAGATATATAGGTGCATTAATATAGGCGTATATATTGTATATGTAACATCGATCAGAAACGACGAGGAGAAAATATACAAGAGAAGCGTGTCGAATACAAATCAATTGATTTTAATCGATTGCGTATTTCGCTAAATGCAAACTTGGTGATTTTTATTTTAATCTCAAACACACACCAAGCACATGTAAATCCAGTCATTAATGATTAATTAAACTCCATCATAATTATTTGCGCGAATATTTTAATCATATAACTCATTTATATTTTATTCGAGAGATTTTTCGATTCAAATAGCTTAATTGCATTTACTTAAATGTGATTATTTATTTTTTTACATTAGACGATAATCACTTAAAATTTTTCTACCTTTTCCATCATTCTAATTATTAGTAATCAAATTATTTATTATCGTGGATGAGAATTATTAATAATTATTTATTACATAATAATTATTTATTAATAATAATTATTTATTATAATAATTATTTATTATCGTGAATGAATTCGCAGATATATTTCAGAGTATATCTTCGAAATTGGCATCTATTTGCGAATATACATTAACTAACAATGCATCAAATCTGTCGATTAAAGAACAAGTTGTTCTCTACATCGATTTTAGATTAATGCGCATTATGGAAGATTGCAAAGTCTAACAACCTATATATTAAAAGGTATACTTCGTACATAGTCGGTCAGTAGAGAAGAAACTTTCTTCTTTAACTATTGAAACAAAATTTTCAAGACTATAAAGGAGATTAAGTTGCTATTTTAGTGCAGGCCATAAATCACAGTAAAATAGCAAAGATATAGTAAAAAGTATGCCGACTAATGGAATGATAAAAAATGAGATATCAAGTATTTCATTAGTGTCTCTTGGAATAAAAATTAATCGAGCTGTCTAAATTCAGAGGAAATATTTCAGGAATATTCAAACGTAACAATCCCTTCAGAATCTTTTAAAAGTCCACGCATAATCTGCAATCTTTCTTGTCGTTATTATTAATTCAAAATAGCGTTATCGGATAATGTTGCAAGATTATATCGGTTACCAAAGGAGCTTGTTACGAACGTGTTACAACCGCAATGGTTAAGCCCTATATAAGATCGATCGTTATCGCGACACGATCGGTAATTAGACACTCGCCCCGGATAATTAGATCGGTGGACGTTACCTGCCCTTTCTAAAATAACAATGTAAAACTACTCTCGAAATTATGACTTGATGACATTTGAAAAATCGAGATAGAAAAAGGATCCGTTAAGGATCCGATTTATTTCATGAAAACTTTATTAAATTCCCTTTTCGCATTAAACTAAATTCTATCGCGTTATTATGTACATTAAAAATTTGTATGCGTATTAATTGATAGAAATTTACATATATTAATTGACGTATTATTTAATTCATGTATGATTGATAATTTCAATGAAATTCCCGGTTAATTCTACTTTGAACGATACCACAAATAGCCACGCCTATCGAAATTTCCCATAATAACGCTCGATCGAATACGGATGGCTCGTCTATTGCAATTAACTATGCGACAGGGGATACTGCGCGATGCTGCAACATGCACAATGCATTCCTATCAGTAGCCTTATCAGTAATTAGCGAATGGTAGGAGACAATTAGAAGGCTGGCTTTTCATCCATTTACATTTATAAAACTTTATTTGGCAAAATGACGTGACTTGATAATATTAGATCGTATGTACGAGAAATATTTTATCAATATTATAAATATACTACGTAATGATACATTATAATTTATACAGAATGAATAATTTACAAATACAGCAATTTTTATAATTATTTCAAAAATGAGTTTTGCATTAAATAAAGTGTGTAGAAAAATTTCGATGAAGCAAGTCAACGTGCTATTTAACAATACATCATTTAATAATTAATTGATATGACGGACGGCTTAGTTTGAACCAATATTATTATTAAATTATCGTAAAATTTTAATTTTATTTAATTTTAATTTTAATTTTAATTTTAATTTTAATTTTATTTATTTAATTTTAATTTTAATTTTAATTTTAATTTTATTTTTTAGTAGAATTTTATTTAATTAAATTTAGATTTATAATCTTAAGATTTAGTCGCGATATATCGATACTTTTACACCTGGATCTTAGTAAGGCAATATGTTACGGTTTTTTAGATATTCTTTATTTGAGAAATATTTATCATATATCTTTATTCTAGTTTCTTATATATCTTCTTATATTTTATTTAAACAATAAAATATGTAACGCAAACATAAAAGCTTCATAAGTTTCCATTTTCAAATATAAAGATGTATGTAATATTTGAATATATTGCTACTTCATCTTAAATGAGAAGGTATCGTGGGACGCGACAAAGCACTTTTTGTTCTCTCGAGTAATCGTAATTCATCGCATGTCCCTTTCGAGGGTCTCTGTCGAGAATCTTGATAAAGGAAAATGTGGCGTGCCGAACGAGAGACGTAATGTTACTCAGTCACCCCGATAACCATCGTCAGATTGTCGCCGTCCCTCGGATAAAAATGGAGGTTTTCTGAAGTAGATAAGAACTAGAGGGGGTGTTTCGCTCTTTGGAAACGAAGCAACCGTCATCGAATAATTTCTGGGGGAAAGTTTTATTGAGATTGTCACGCAAAGCACGCTCCCGTGCGTTCTAATCTTAAAATTATTAAATCGCGCGTTAACTTATGGCATAAATCCTATTTTCAACGTAATTTGTATTATCGTTTCTATCGAATTAATTTAAATAAGAAAAGAATTTAAGGGGTTATGTCTAATCTTATAGAAGTAAAAAAAACGATTTTTATGTTTTTACATTTTCTTGAAGTACATCATATTGAAAATATTTCCTAAAGGTTTCAAATTAATCGGATGCAAATTGACAGAGTTGTAAATGTATGTTTCATGAAGGGTCAGAATCTATAACTTTGTTTAAACACGATTCTAAAGCTTCAGCTCTGACATTTTGAGGGCTATCAAGAAGATTACTATCTATGAAGATTTAAATAAATTAAAATTATATGGGCCCGGAATAGATGATCTGTGTCAATTAAAAAATCTGCATTTTATTTAAACGTAAACGTGACGCAAATCTTAAATGCGTTTTTCTCGAAATCATTTTTTCAAAGTCGGCAAGCACGATATTTCGAAAACCGTTACACTGATTTGCTTGAAACTTTACAGGCTTCTTCTACATATAAAAACTTAGTAGATGAACGAAGGATTTTGTTTTTTTAATGAACACTGTTTTTTAATGAATACTGTTTTTTAATTAAAAATAAAAAACAAGCAATTTTTAAGTCGAAAAAGAATATTTTAATGTAAAATGGCTGCCATTTTGTCCTAAAACAATTTTTCGATTAATCCTTCGTTCATCTACTAGACAATTTCGTACATTAACTACAGTTTATCGATTTTTGATGTCAGATGAATCAGTTTCGAATAGCACTGCTCACCGCGTAGCGCTTTTTAAAAAACAATATCCAAGGAAGAATAGTTATAACTTATTAATCTTCTATTTAAAAAAAATATATAAAATATATAATATATAATAAATAAAAAATATATAATAACATTCTTAATATTTGTACTTTTAAATAAAAATTTATTTGTAAAAGAAATTATTACACTTCTAAAAAAAAATTCCTAAACAGACTTTTTTCGGTCTGTTGACTAGGCATAACCCTTTAACAGAGGAGATTGACACGTGTATAATTCTTTGATTAAATTTATTGAAATTTCCATGGAAGTAAATGGTGTGTATCGGAAAGATCGTGCGGAAAGATCTTTCTACTTTTGTAAAACATCCTTGCTTTTAATCTCGGACCCCAACAATTGCATAGTGACGCTCGTTTCCGATACGTCCAACCCTCCAATTTCACGCTATTGTTCGCGATCCTCCATTGCTTGATTGAACAACGTCGCGTCGGAAACGTTTGACGAGCATTTCTGAAAAGTATTTAACGTTAAATCGAACACTCTTACGATTCAGGTCAGAAAATAAAGTTTTGGGAAAATTGCATTTGCAAAGTTTCGAGAGTTGACTGAAGCATGTAAAGCGCGACACGTACCGATTTTCCCCAA